CCATGAACAAGAGTGCACCCCCTTTTCCAATCGGTTAAGGGTGTTGGGATATTTGGAGTTAAGCATCCTTGGGTTTGAATAGTACTGGGCTGGGTGACCTCTCGGGAAGTCCAAATTCAGGAGCTTACAGCAGTATTCATAATGTTTACAAATCATAAACCTCTTGTGAAAAGAGTTCGTTAAATGGTCAAACTCATGGAGTTTGGGGATTTTTCTATTGAGCATCGTCTGGGAAAATCAAATATAGTAGTAGATGCTTTATCTTGTATTCATCATATGATACATTATAAATATGGTTTTGTCATCATTTGAGTAAAGTGGTTAGTGAGTTTGGGTAGTTATTGAGAGTGCTCAGGCTCAAGATGCAAAACCAAATGGAAGCATATTTCTCATTGTGGATGGGATTCTTTGCTATAATGGCCATGTATATTTGCCACAGATGGATGCATTAATTACTCAAGTTTTATTCTACTATCATGATCGTCTAGAGGCCAGGCATTTTGGGGGGAAGAAGATATATGAGTTGATTAGATGCAATTTTTATTAAAGGAATATGAAGGCTGATATCTTTGAGTATTATAAATTATACAAGCTTTATCAACAAGTAAATATATTATAGGAGAAGCCAAAGGGACTCTTGCAACCTTATACTATTCTTTAGTGCCATTGGTGTAGTATTTTTATGAACTTCATCACTTGTTTGCCACGAACACAAAGAAGCTTTGCCACTTGATCCAAACCACTTGCTCCTATATATAAACTAGGGTTTTGGGGCTAATAGATATGTATATTTCTTGTATTCTCTTTTATTTTTCTATGCACTCACATTGGTGAAGGTGAGGAGCAACTTTGATTGTCCCTAAATGCTTGGATTTGGGATTTTTAGTTTAGATTTAACTTTTTCATTATCTAAATCTCCCTTTCTTTTTAGTTTTTTCCATTTCTTTTCTTTTTCTTTTTGTTTAGATCTAGCTTTTGTATTGCTTACATCTCCCTTTCCTTCTAATTTTTTCTATCTCTTTTTTTTTTTCTTTTTCCTTCATTCATCTTCATGGTAGAGTAACAGTCCCCTCCTCCTTTGACTTTGGAGCAACAGTTGGTACAATTGCGTAATGCTATGCAATTACAATTGAACAACCAAATATAATTGATGGTGACATTCATAAAGTATAGTACAATAGATCTTCCTACTCTTGTTGCCAATCCTCGTGTTCGGCCGAAGTTCTTCTATGGGAATCTTAGGGATGATGTGTACCATTGATTCGATCACTTTACAATGATTGCTATATATCATTCTTGGGATTATGCTTGATGTTTGCGTGAATTTTTTACGTGTCTCTAAGGGACAATGCTATAGTGGTACAATGGTTTAAGTGCAAATACTCATGAGGATTGGAGTATTCTTCTAAACATCTTCAAATGTACATTTGGACATATTGACGATATGTGATAGTGCCTTCCAACAATTACATCATCTTTGTTAAGGGCCATCTGAGTTGATGATATAGTTTGGAATTCATTTCCCAAGCCTTTTGCTTTATGCCAAGCCAAATATATTAGAGTGGATCAAGCTGGGAATATTGTAACTAGCACTTCGTCAAGATCTTGTAGAACTTATGCATGCACTTGCTCCAACTACCTTTGATGATGCCCTTTTCCTGGCATAATATTATGAGATGACGTGTCTTCCACTTCTCACTACATGTCCTTCAGCTCCACCTCTTGTAAAAGATGGTCTTGTTCTAATGGAGGTTCATGTTGGTGTTGCCTAAGTTCAAGGACAAGGGTGAGGATGTGGTCGTGGCCATGATGTCCATTACTGGGTGTGTGATGAAGTTGATCACACTTATCGGCATTGTTGGCATTTTCTAGATTAGTGACTTCTATTTCCTAGGTGGAGACCTTGGCATCAACAACATCCTGTTTGTGCTACTACAATGAAAGGTCTAGACACTAAGATACATTTAGAAAATAAGGAATCGCACGAGTACCAAAGGGACCTTACATGAATAAGTAATGACTTATGAAAGAATATGCAAAGAAAAATAAAGATAAAGATTAGATATTTAGATGAGTTGGTGTAAAGTGAACCCCACTCCTAAAAGAAAGATGGAGGGCTCCATCTTTCTTTTAGGAGTATCATAAAGGGGTTCACTCTACACCAACTCATTTAGTGTTTATTTTCTATACGACTCATTTTGGTCATGCTTTTGGGGTTCCTTTTGGGGTTTCATCATTATGAGAAAAGGGGATGATATGAGGTCTAAGTGGACTGTTACGATGCTATATACTAATATAGCCATTAGATTGATTTCGATTTGAACCACTTGCTCTTGTATATAAGGTAAGGTTTTTAGGCTAATAGATATATACATTTCCTATATTCTCTTTCCCTATTCCATACACTCACCAAAATAAAATATAAAAAGCACAAACATAAAACATAATGAGGAAAAACCTAAACCAAGCATAGGTCATATATGTATAAATTATAGTTGTTCATTCACAAGCTAATTATAAAAGTATAGTCATTAACATCTACTAATTAGAATTTAATATTACTAATTTAGAGTTAGTCATTGGGTGCAAAGTTGGGCATGATTAAGCATGCCACCAAGAGGAGTGAGCGTGGCAAGGGAGTAGCCATGTAAGAGAGGAGGGTGCTATATTGTAAAATTGATCCTCCAACTAAAGCTTTGCAATTTTTCAAAGGTGTTCTAAGAGGTGCTATTGAGAGACAGATGTGTTTCTCAAGCATAAGAACTCCAGGGATGGATAGAAGGAGCTATCCTTAGAATCTGCAAATGGTAACATGTTCATCTTCTTGCAAGCTTCTAAATTAAGCTTCCTTAGTAGAGGAAGCCTTGCAATACCATCAGGTATCATATCCAAGTTCTCCAAAAAACAAAATTCCAGAGTTGTCAACATTGTGAGTGATGCAAACCATTCTGATAGTTGGTCAATACCAAAGCCCTATATTTGCAGCCACATCAACTGTGGGAAGGCATCTGTGGCACCTAGAGAGACATCTAGAAGCTGTTCAAATGCATCAGAGAGTATATCTTCAAGTCATGGGAACTTGCCACCAAATGCAACACAGGCAAGCAATGGAAAGTACTTGATTTTAACAACTCTCAGTGATGGGCACTCAAATATGTTGATGGTGGTCACTTTGTTCCAGAACCATAGAAGAATTGTCTCTAGATTTAGAAGGAACTAGATGAAAAAGTGTTTCCCACATAGTGTGCTTTCTATTAACTTTTGGAGTTGTTTCTTTAATGGTTAGCTAGACTTGGGTATGCATCAGCGAGGACGGGAATTTTGAAGACCTTGAGTGATGCCAGTTGAGAGATGGTGGGAATGCCAATCAAGTTTTTACAGCTGCTGAGGGAGAGGCTTGTTAGCATGGGAAACATTACCTGTGTTAAGAAAGGAAGCCCCTCAAAGTGGTCATTGTCCTCAATAATTAATTCTTGCAAGTTCTCCATTCTGGAGGTTACTTTAAAGTCACTTTGCCCAAAGCATGACACTTCCAAAGTTCTCAACCTCAGAAATCTGCTCCAGTCCCAGCCTAACAATGGAAGTCCCAACAGTCTCAAAATGTCAAGGTCAGGCAAGCCCTGAAGCTGTCACATGTTACCCCCTGCTGTTTCCAAGCCTGAATTTCCAACTGTTTGAAATGGGCCAGTTTGCCTATGCTTGCTGGTAGATCCACAGTCAACTCTGTACTGATAATCAACACCTCCAACTTTGTCAATGCCTGAAACATCCCATCCAGATAAAGTCTTCCAAACGTCCTGTTTAAGGATTTCTTATGTTTGAAAAGCCGATGATGCCGCCTGTGGCATGTCCACATTCCCTGACATGCATTTCCGTTTAAGTAGACCAGCTTGGTGAGTTTGAGCAAAGCATCCACAGGGAAAGACTTGAGTTTCGAACAGGATCCTAAGTTCATATATGATAAATTCGCCAAGTTGCCCAGTGAATTTGGGATGCTTTCGAGTGAAGGATTCCAAAACAAATCCAGAGTTTCCAGAGTCTTGAGCTGTCCAATGCTATGTGGCAAACTTACCACCCCAGTGTGACTCAGGCACAAAACCTTCAAGCCTTTGAAAAGAGAGAGGCTTGGCAATGCAGTGAGACGGGTATTATAATCCAAGAGCAGGCAAGTGGTGGTGGAAACTCTGACCCTGTTCTTCTTAGGTAGAGGGATTTCCGAAATTCCACGATCGACCAGTGAAATCCTGCTGTAGTTACTCGTGAAGGCGTCACCCACATCCCTCATCTGCGACTGCCCAGCCTTTAAATAACACTTGGGGCCCTCTTGTTCCAGGATGTGCAAAGCAAGAGCCAGCAACGCATCGTGAATCCTGTAATAATTCTTTTTTTTCGGCACTTCGACATAGTCGTAACTTTCTTCTTCTTCTTCAGTGATAAGTGCGTGATTCTTGAGCCTTTCTAGAACATTCGTGGCCTCTCCTATATTGGCAACCATCCTGATGTTCCCTATGATAGCTACACCGGATCAAGAATGAAGCAAGAAGCAAGGAAGGAATGCACTTCATTTTGTCTGATTGGGTTTCAAATGATGTTCCCCTGTGATAGCTACACCGGATCAGGAATGAAGCAAGGAGCAAGGAGCAGGAATGCACTTCATTTTGTCTGATTGGGTCCAAACTTAATCAATTGTTGCTTGACCCATTCTTCAGGCTAAAGTCCTATAGCATGTAAAGATAAACTTTTTTCTTGCAAAAGTTGTCAACATATTTTCTTTTCCAGGTGTGGAATTTAAGAGTATATACCAGGTTCTTTTGCACCAACCAGAAGCCACTACTCTCCATCCAGTAGAGGTGAACTCACATTTAGGAACACTGAGATTGGTTAACGTCGAGAGGACCAAACTTCTATTAATTATAAACTGTGTCAACATTCCAGTAGTTATGTTCTATAAACCAAATTATTATTGATAATTCTTTTTTTCTTTTTTGACAGCCCTAATGTCTTTAGGATTTAGGGCCCATGGGCAACAAGCTAGCTCGCACGACGCAGGCGTCCCCGACGGAGTACTACCTCAACGATCTCCCATCGGAGTTCAATCTGGTGCTCAAGGAGGTGATCGGCAAGAGCGAGCGATTCTTCAAGGCGATCCTCTGCGTGCACGATGAAGGTCTGCTGCTCGTCAAGGTGTATTTCAAGCGCGGCGACGTCCTCGACCTCAGGGTAATCCTCTCTCTCGCGCAATGCCGCTGTCGATCGGCTGTGGTTTGATTCTCGCAGGAGCACGCGCGCAAGCTCAATGAGATCCGGGAGCAGTTTCGAAATGTTGAGAATTCGCATGTCTGGCCATTCCAGGTAGGGATTCTCCTTGTCTTTCTTTGAAGAACTCTTCTTTGTTTTTCTCTTGTACTTTCTAGCGCTGGCACGAGACGGACAAGGCAGCTTATTTGCTCCGGCAATACTTCTTTAGCAATTTGCACGAGAGGCTTAGCACTCGTCCCTTCCTCAGTACGATCCAAAAGAAATGGCTAGCATTCCAGGTAGAGATCTCGGACAAAAAAATTATCTACGACTGACGATATGATTTCTATAGTTGCTACATGCAGTAAAACAAAGTCATGATCGCGGTGTATGCCACGGTGAGTCTCTGGCTTCGCCCTTGTTTTCCTTTTTTCTTTGGTCGTTTTTTTTTTCTTTTGGTGAGCTTTGGAATTCGTGCAGGAGATATCAAGTGCGAGAACGTATTGGTAACGTCTTGGAACTGGATATACCTTACAGACTTTGCCTCTTTCAAACCAACCTATATCCCAGATGATAATCCGGCGGATTTTTCATTCTTTTTCGACACTGGAGGCCGTAGGCGATGTTATTTAGCTCCAGAGGTACTTTTGTTTCTTTCTTACGTGGTTACTGGTCGTGACATTATCATTGTAGCGTTTCTATGATCCAAAAACCGAGTCACCCGTGTCGCCAGGAGGAGCGCTCAAGCCTTCAATGGATATGTTCTCTCTCGGGTATGTCAAATATGTTTCCTTGAATCTTTTACATTTTTGTGACGTTTTGTCAGTTGCGTTATTGCTGAGCTTTTTCTCGAAGGACAGGCTCTATTCGATCTCTCGCAACTTCTGGGATATCGTAAGAGACTTTACGATCCGTTGCCGTCTTTGGAGAAGGTTTGGCTATTTTGTGGCTCTAAATGCTTCTTTTTTGTACGAATTTTATTGATGGTTTCTATTTTTTACAGATCTCAGACACTGGAATCAAGAATATGATATTGCAAATGATTCACGTAGTTCCCGAGTCTCGGCTCTCTTGTGACGATTACTTGGAAACATGGGCTTACGACGTGTTTCCCAGCTATTTTTCTCCAGCTTTGCACAACCTGTTTTCTTGCTTAACTCGGACTATGGATCTGGAGAGCGATTCAAGGGTAAATTTACGTTTCTTTCTTCGTTCGTCCTCACTCTTCTCAAACCAGGTTGCACTTATTCAAAGTTCATTTTCCGAAATTCGAAGTTTGATGATTCGCGATGCCAAAGACAAAAGTTTTTCTGCCGACTGCCTGGATAAGGAGCTTCGAATAACTTCACCATCACCGCCTTTGCAAAGAAAATCTCGTTCTTCTCATGCTCAAACACAGCATGACTTGCTGACTGACATCAATCTGCTGTTGAAAGACAGCAAGTCCTCGATTCAGCATACAAAGCATCAGTCAGATTCAAGCGTTTCCGACCGCTTTACCTGTTCTTATCGACTGAAAGCGGCAGCTGTGAAAATGGCAGAAGTGGCACCAAAGCACGACGAAGAGGTACCGGGTTTAATTTTTATCAATTTTCAATTTGATTGTTTGCAAAGATTTTAAATGTTTCTTGCCGTTTGCAGTTCAAAGAAGAAATTAGGAAATCCAAGGTACCCACTCACGAGGGAATGGTTCTTATTGCGTCTGCACTTTGTGCTTGTTTGCGGCACGTAAAACTTCCTTTTGCAAGACGAGCAGCTGTGCAACTTCTGTACAATGCTTCTGTGCTTTGCGACGACGACGCACGGCTGCAGCTCATTGTTCCGTTTGTGGCTGCGCTTTTGTCTGATTCAGCTGCTATTGTCCGCTGTGCCGCGCTGCAGACGCTTTGCAACGTTCTATCCATGGTTCAGACTTTCTCTCCGAGTGACGCCAAGGTATTTCCAGAATATATATTTCCGCTGCTGTCCATGTTACCCGATGATCCAGAAGAAAGCGTACGTATCTGTTATGCCGACTGCATCCACAAAATAGCGGGCACAGCTTACAGGTTTTTGGTTTCACAAAGTTCCGAGGGTGGTAGTGAGGAACTTAACGAGAAGTCACGCTCGGCTGGTTTTACTACAGAGTTGGCGCAGCTCCGTGAGACTATAGGACGTATTATTCATGACTTGGTTATGGGCCAGAAGCAGACTCCAACCATAAGGCGTGCTCTCCTGGAGCATATCGCGCCGTTATGCGAGTTTTTCGGAAAGAAGCAGTGCAACGACTTTCTCCTGCCAGTTTTGCCAGCGTTTCTAAACGATCGCGACAAGCAACTGCGGGCGCTTTTCTTCGAACAGATTGTTCACGTCTGCATCTTTGTTGGCGAAGTCAGCTCCGAAGCCTACTTACTTCCGTACCTCGAGCAGGCACTGAGCAACGTAGAGGAGCCCGTTATTGTCAACGCTTTGGAATGTTTGGCCGCTCTCTGTGTTTATAAGCTGCTGAAGAAGAGAGTTCTCTTGAAGACTGTGGAGCGAGCCTCCCCGCTGCTTTGCCACCCGAGCCAGTGGGTGCGAAGAGCAGCCATCACGTTAGTTGCTGCCAGCGGCTCCAACCTTTCTGTAGCAGATGCTCACGCGTACCTGATACCGCTTCTACTGCCGTTTCTCAGACGGGAGCCACTGTCGATATCTTCTGAAGCAGCGCTTCTGGCATGTCTCAAGCCACCGGTTTCTCGTGACGTCTTTCAACGCGTTTTGAGCAACGTGATGCTGACTTCAAATTCAACAGAGGCTGCAACAGAGCGGCCTAAGCCTCGTCAACGAGTTCCCGATGCAACTTTTGGTCATGGCAGAACTCCGATGATGAAGATACCACTACAAAGGAACGTCCCCGACTTTGAAGATGGTGAGAAGCTCAAAGCTATGGAGGGATACATTCGAAACTTGTCTAGCACGATGCACAGCTGGGATTTGGAGAATCCAGAGAAGATGGATGCTTCGGCAACCGGCGCAGGGTTCTTCTCAAACTTTGATGTTGCAACGGACAGTATTCCGCTGTATTCTCGTCCGCCAACTGATAGAAGGTTGGACAACTCGGGTAATGAGGAGTGGAGCCGGATCTACCGTCAGCCTATGGACACTCTCGCGTACTCGCAGTCTGATATGATGCAGAAATCTATGATGCAGAAGTCTATCATCGCTATTCCATCAAAGTTCACAGGGTCCATTTACGGGAGAACTCCTTCACATGAAACAAGCACCGAGCCCGCATTCGATGCTTTCAACAAGTTCTTGAAGTCCAGCGCTGGCTCAGACAGCAGGTGGAGACCACGCGGTGTGTTGGTCTCGCATTTGCATGAGCACCAACGAGCAGTAAATCAAGTGGCGGTTTCTTCGGACAACAGCTTCTTCACGAGTGCATCGGACGACGGGACTGTCAAAGTGTGGGACTGCCGCCGCTTGGAGAGAAGTACCTCTTTCAGATCGAAGTTGACGTACTCCTTTGGGCAGAACGAGCGCGTCCTTTGCTTGGCGATGCTAAGCCCGGATCAACAGGTTGCGGCAGCGTCGAGTGCTGGAGAGATTCGCGTGTTATGCGTAGACTACATCGCACGGGAGGGCAATGTTCCGGAGCGGTACTCTGGCATCTCAAACGTCCGGAGGACAGACGCGCAGGAAGGCTCGGTTCTAGCTTTGCAGGCTTTCGGGGGTATGCTTCTATACAGCACCCAGAAGAATGGACTTCACCTGTGGGACTTTAGAGAACAGCGGGACGCCTGGCTGCTAAAGGCAAAACCGGAGCAAGGCTACGTTTCCGCTTTAGCTGCCGATCCTTCTCGCCACTGGCTAGTGTCGGGAACATCCCGCGGTGTTCTAACGCTCTGGGACTTGAGGTTCCAAGTTCAGGTTTACTCGTGGCGGCTTCCGTCTTGCCACCCTGTGGAGGCTATGTGCGTTCCCGTTGGCTCCTCGCTTCCTCGACCTTTTGTTTACGTTGCTGCTGGCCGGAACGAGGTGGCTGTTTGGAACGTGGAAAATGGGAACTGCCAACAGGTACTTCGCTAAATCTTGTCCTTGTTCTTTCTTCACGCTTTGGAGTTTTGCAGATTTTAAAGTCAGCCGTGCAGTCCAATGGGACAAGCTTCGTTGCAAATCTCCAACCGTGGGGCCGAAGGACGGGCCCAAAGCAGCAACACCAGGAAGCATCCAAGCTCTCTGACTACAAAGTCGAGGAGCTGAGCGATCCTCCTCCGAGGATTCCAGGCGTTCGAGCTTTGCTACCGACGACGGCAGGAGCCTCGGTTATAACTGGAGGGACCGACTGTAGAATTCGTTTGTGGGATCACTTGAGGTTCGTGGTTTCTCTTCAATTTGCTTTTTTCTTTTGGCTCATGCTCTACAAACTATGACAACTGTGTGGATTGGATTTGCAGGCCGGAGACTAGCTACTGCATCTGCGGTCCTACAGTGAAGAACGCTCCTCCTTTCCGGTATTCCTCCAAAACCGTTTGTGGACTACACATCACTCAGGTACTGTAGGAAAAGGTTTGAGGATTTGTCTCGATTGATGGAGGTAATGGCAGGAATCGATGCACGAAAATGTGCAAAGCGAGGTCGCCTTGGCTGCGGTTGATATGGCTGGGTGTCACCGAGACTCCATTACCAGCTTGGCTGCGGCTAGTCAGCTGCTCATATCGAGTAGTAGAGATGGTACGATCAAAGTATGGAAGTAAAGCTTATTAGTTTTCAATTCCACCGTACAAACGGTTCCACTGCCATAGCGTGAATGGAAATCTAAAATCTAACACACAACTTGGAACTTATTCCAGTTCCAACTTAGCTAAGGGCAACATAAATACGAACTACTTAGCGAAAGGCAACATAAATCTGACCTGAAATATAATTTGTTCTTTTAACCTTGCTTCTTTGCTCACACGTAATATTCACATTCCAGTTTCGGGATTCATGGCCGTGCTGTGAAGCTGGGAGTAAATGTATAGGCCCGAACGTCTGGAAAGCGTTTTTTTGCCAAGTATGAGAGCTCCTCGTCCGAGTGGCTAGAACACTCCCACTTCTTCTCCACCAGATGAAACGCTAACAGAGGATACATGCGGCTGGAGACCACAATCACATCACCTGCTAAATGAGCCATCCAGTTTTCATTGGGACAGTCGACATCACCAAGTGGCCACTTGTCGCCAATGGTTTCTCCAAGTATTTCTCGGATGCAACCATGGTAGAGTGCCAGCCACTTATCAGGTTCCTCGCCTTTCTCCAACACGCTCAAAGCAACTCTCCGGAAACCACCCTTACTTCCCTCCCTGTGAACCACTAAAATCCTCCGGCCTTTGTACATAAAACCCCGGATAGGCCAGCTGAAGCAGCCATCCTCAAGCTCCAGAATCCTCCCATCCCAGTCGCCTAATGGATTCGTACGCACCAACGGACGACTCCATGCCATGGCGTCGAGGTCATAGTGGTTGTAGCCAAAATTCCATACATTGCTCGGGGATTCCCCGGCCACCCAGCTTTCTGAACCGGAACTGTACTGTAAAATGTAGGCAGTCTCCTCAGTGTCTCCCTCCTGGACGTTGAACACTGCAATCCGGTAGATCCCAGTCTCAGGATCCACATCCATCGTCTCAACCTCCTCCACCTCCTCGACACACTGGAACACCTTCCAAGCGTTTGTGAGTGGATTGCCCACGGCCAAAGAGCGTGAGCGGGGAGTGTTCTCTTTCGGCCACCCAGCAAGCGTGCCACAGACGAGCCCACTCACCGTGAAATGGCTGACAAACATTGGCGAGGGGACGCCAGGCGGGGCGAGGGGGAGGGCAGTGGGCTCGGGTGGCAGGCCAGAAAATGGACGCCACAGAAGTGCAGATTGGCGGCCAGAGGAGCGAGTCATCCGAACCACCCATGCAGTGCCAGGACGATGCTGCTGCTCGCTGTGGCAGTCTAAAAACGAGCGGGAGGTAAGAATGCAGTACCAGGAGCGGCAAACCAGACGCATCCGGGCCACATTGTGGACATCCAGTCGCAGGAGGATGCTTACCAGCAGTTCATCCTCCCCCAGCCGGTCGAAGGCGGAGCCCATCGCCATACTAACCTGTGCCCTATAACCGGGGTAGGGTCATTCCATTCCTTTTTCTTTTAATGTAGCTTGAAAACTATTAAATGTTGCTTTGGAAAACTGCTTGATCTTAATAACTTTTAAATGAATGTAAAAGTTATTAAGATCTAGCAGTTTCCAAAAGCTCCAGGGTGGCAGCCATGTCCGGACCACCCATGCAGTGCCAGGATGCTGCTGCTTGCTGTGGCACTCCAGAAACGAGCGAGAGGTAAGGATGCAGTGCCAGGAGCGGCAGGCCACTCGCATCCGGGCGACGCTGTGGAAATCCAGTCGCAGGAGGATCCCCACGAGCAATGCCCAGTCGATAACCGCTATAGGGTCGATAAAAGAAATATCCCGGGTTAATTAAGCTGAAAATATAATATTAATTTAAAAATAAATTATTTTCAGTTATTTATATTCCTTGGCCAGGGAGGACGTCCGATCAATCCACGCTCTCTCGCCTCTCAGATCTTGGAGCTCGTGATTGTGATCCCAGGGGATTTCTCGCTCTCGGGTTGAAATCTTTCGTAAATTTGCTTCAGCTCGCGGGCTCAATCGGTGGCTGTGCATAAGCTCTAATCGGTCGCATTCTGAAGAGGAAGCAAAGGAGAGGTGTTTCGAACGCTCTGGGACTTGAGGTTCCAAGTCCAGGTTTACTCGTCAAAGAGGCTGCTTGGCTTCTCACCATTTGTTTACGTTGCTGCTGGCCGGAACGAGGAACGTGGAAAATGGGAGGTACGTACTTTGGCAAATCAGGCGTGCAGCCCAACGGGACAAGCTTCGTTGAAAATCTCCAACCGTGGGGTTGAAGAACAAGCTCAAAGCAGCCACACCAACTACAAAGTTGAGGAGCTGAGCGATCCTCCTCGGAGGATTCCAGGCGGTCGAGCTTTGCTACCGTCGACGGCAGGATCCACTGGAGGGACCGACTGTAGAATTCGTTTGTGGGATCACTGGAGGTTCGAGTGGTTTCTCTTCAATTTGGTTTTGGCTCTTTCTCTACAAACTATGACAATTGTGTGGATTGGATTTGCAGGCCGGAGACTAGCTACTGCATTTGCGCTCCACCTTTCCAGCACTCGTCCTAAACGGTTTGTGGACTACACATCACTCAGGTACTGTACATAAGAAAAGGTTTGGCGATTAGAGTCTCGATTGACGGGGGTAATGGCAGCCTCCATTACCAGCTTGGCTGCGGCTAGTCAGCTGCTAATATCGAGCAGTAGGATCAATGTATGGATTGTAGTTAAAACATATTACGTGTAACAACTATAATATTCAACTGATTTCATTTCCCAACATATTTCTTTGCTCACGCTTAATTCCACCTGGGGTTCACATTCCAGGTTTGAGATCCATGGCCGTGCCGTGAAGCATATACGAGTGAATGTCCGGAAAGCATTTGCTTGCAAAGTACGAGAGCTCATGGAGACAACAAAAATAAGCCATCCAGCTTTCACTGCGAGCGCCGATATCGCCAAGTGGCCATCTGCCACCAAGTATTTTTGGGATGCAACCATGGTCAAGTGCAAAACGCTCCTCATCCCTCTCCAAGACACTTGAAGCAATTCTTCTTTCCTTCCCTGTCAACCAATAAAATCCGCCGTCTTCTGTACACAAAACCCCGGATATCTACAATTCTCTAGCTCTGCGTCATCCGCTCCCATCCCCAAAATGGATTTTCACGCACTGGAACGACACCATGTCATGGTATCGATCTCGTAGTGGTGGTAGCCAAAATTCCATCCACAAAGTCCATCCACTGGATCCACTAGTCGGGGATTCTCCCGCCACCCAGCTTCCCGAACCAGAATTGTACTGGAAAATGTAGATTTCTTGCTCCTGATGTTGGAAAAAAGGATGAATTTTAGTTTCAATTAAGCCTAAATTACTTTTAATTGTTTTATGGCGAAAAAAGTCGGAGGTTCGAGTTTTCTCCCTCTCTTCTTTTTTTTTTTAATTTTTACTTTACTTTCTTAAAAATATATATTCTCGGCATTACGTGGCGTTACGCTCGAGAGACAGGCACCCGTCAAACTAGCAGTGACGGCCCCTCACTAACGCATTGCAATTTTTTGCCATTTCTAAGTAGCTAGGTTTCCTGGCCAGGACGCAGCAGCAGGAATAAAAGAGAGGACACTTTGTCCGATCGGTCCATCGCGCATCGCCTCTGCTATCTCGCCTCTCAGATCTTGCCGCGCTGCGCAGCGCCTGGAGCTCGTCATTGTGATCGCGGGTAGGAGCAGGGGATTTCTCGCTCTCGGGGTAAAATCTCTCGAAATCTTGCATCAGCTCGCGGGCTCAGTCGCTGGCCCTGTGTATCTTGCAGCTCGGATCGGTCGCATTGCGTCGCACCATGACGAATTTCTGACAGTAACAAAGAGGAAGCAAAGAACAAGGCATCGAGAGGTATGGCGACACACGAGCATTGCTGCGGTCCTACTTTCTGGGGATACATCGCCATCATCGTTGCTATTGTCGCGTTTGCCGGTTTGATGTCCGGCCTCACTCTGGGTCTCATGTCTCTGGAGCTTGTGGATTTGGAGGTGTTGATCAAGTCGGGCAAGGAGAAGGATCAAAAGCACGCAGGTACAGCATCTATTCTTTCTTGTCTATGGGATTTCTTCTCTCCCTTGCTTACTCCGCTCCTCTTTACAGGGAAGATCTATCCTGTCGTTAGACGGCAACACCTTCTTCTTTGTACTCTTTTGATTTGTAATGCTCTTGCGATGGAGGTCAGTTTTTTCCCTTTCCCCCATTCATCGTTTCTTACACAATTTGTACTTCTTTTTCAACTTGGTTTGGCGTCGCCTTTTAGGCTCTTCCAATCTTTCTAGACTCGTTGGTTCCGGCTTGGGCTGCCATTTTGATATCTGTGACACTGATTCTTTTATTTGGAGAGGTACCATCCATCTAGTTGCTGTAGCGAGGTTTTGATTGTGTCATGTGTGCCACATACAGATTTTTCCTCAGGCAGTGTGCTCAAGGTATGGATTAGCTGTTGGAGCGACCATGGCTCCTTTCGTTCGTTTGCTCTTGGTCTTGTGTTTTCCGGTTGCGTATCCCATTAGTAAGGTACGTGGCTCTTTCTTGTTTTCCTTGGTGTCCGTTTGTTTTCTAGTGAATTCAGTCTGAAAGCACTGCAGCTTCTCGATGCCACACTTGGCAAGAACCATTCGGCACTGTTCCGGAGGGCTGAACTGAAAACACTTGTTGGCTTCCATGACAAGGAGGTGAGATTTTGTGATACATGATACTCTTAAGTTGAAATTTTTGGTGTATAGGCCGGAAAAGGAGGCGAATTAACTCACGATGAGACGACTATAATCACTGGCGCTCTGGAGCTGACCGAGAAAACTGCAAAGGTTGCGATGACACCTCTCTCCTCTACATTTTCAATTGATGTGAACGCAAAGCTTAACCAGTATGCATCTTACATGTCGAACGTCTTGTAGTTGCTGATGGCTCTTGTTTGAAAACTTTGCCAGGGAAACCATGACTGCGATTTTGACAAAAGGCCACAGTCGTGTACCTGTGTATTCTGGTAAACCAACAAATGTAATCGGCTTGGTCCTGGTATGTGCAAGCTCTTTGTCCAAGTGTCGTTTTCTGATGTAACAGCATGTGTTTCAGGTAAAAAATTTGTTGAGTATACGACCTGAAGATGAGACGCCAGTTCGAAACGTGACGATACGCAAGATTCCTCGGTAATTTCTTCACTATCCAGGTCCCGTTTTTCTAACATGGATAATGTCGTAGGGTGCCAGAGTCCTTGCCACTGTATGATATACTGAATGAGTTTCAAAAGGGACACAGTCATATGGCCGTGGTCGTTAAAGATGGCGCCGAAAGTTTCAAGAAGGGGTTAGACCGTAGGCTAAGCTCGAAGAGGCTTGTGAAGAATGCCAATGGTAACGATGCTGGTTGCCTTTGAAACCAACGTAATTTTTCATAGTTTCCTTGCAGGCTTACTAACAACGCAGGCCTCGCAAAAGTTCAACGTTGCGGTGGACATAGACGGCGATCCCGGAAGCGAGCCAGTGCTTGTAAGGAAGCTCACCAAAGGCGAGTCGGTCGACCAGCGAAGACAAAACTGGCAGAGAGCCCGAACGGACGACATACTGGACGTTGGTCCCGCGCTGTCAAAGCTCTCTGCCGACGACGAGGCCGTGGGGATCATCACAATGGAGGACGTCATTGAAGAGCTCTTACAGGTAACACTTTTGAGTGCTGCAAAGATGATTAAAAGAAAAGAAGAAGAGGGGAGAGCATTCGTCAAAGTTGAGCTGTAGCTAATGCGTGCTGTCATTTTGTTCCAGGAAGAGATATGGGACGAAACAGACGAATACGTTGACATCCACAACAAGTAAAGCTCTCCTCCATTAGCTAGTCTCCTCCTCTAGTCGAATTTCTTAATCGTTTTCCCGTGGTTTGTCTGTGCAATGGTGGTCAGGATCAAAGTTAACATGCTACCACCCGAGGACAAGTCCCCATCCCCATCGGCACTCTCCTCAGCCTTTCCAACAGCAGCAGCCTCGCCTTTATCATCGCTCCAGCCAACGCCGAGCTTCACGTCCCCAGTCCCATCTCTCCAGCACACTCCAGCCCCCGACTCTCCCCAGAGTCCACACCTGTACGCTCCGGGGCCTACGCCCACCAAGCTCGCTTCCCCATGCACGCCACGCGAGGCCTCATCGCCAGCCTCCTCCTTTGCAAACTTACCGCCGCATGGCTCCCCCGGGAGAATGACACCACTGCCAAGATCACCCGCCTCTAGGAATCGACACAACCAGCAGCAGCAGCAGCAACAGGAGCTCAGAAGTGATGAAACTAGTCCACAGCGATCCACAGTTAAGTGTGCTGGATTCTCCCTTTTGGCTCTTTCTCATCCATTTTTTCTTCGCAGGGGTCCCCACTCTCTTACGTGAAACTCGATAAGAATCCGGGGACCGATTAACTAAGTTATCAACACAGGAGAGAGGAAGGAAAACAGCACTATCCTAGAGGTACCTTTCCCGAAAGCGGCCCAAAAGCTTGTTTGTTGTCCATTATCCCTTCGCGTTGTTGTAAACTAGTATATAGTCGCCTTCGCCTGGAAACATCCAGAAGAAAGAGGAAGATATATATATATATATATCTTGTATCGCGTCAAGAGAAAAGAGAGAGAAAAAAAAAGACCAGACAAAAGGAGTGATATTTCAAATATAAAGCGAGAGCTTTATTTACTGTTAGCAACCGCGATACTTACAACTTATAGAATACAACCAAAACTCGTTAGCCAGGATACAACAAGAAAAAAAAAATGAAAGAAAAGAAAACCATACGATCGATGATATCAATCCTTCTTGCCATGCTTACTTCCCTTCTTGCAGTTGGAGATTTTGTAGTAAACCGACATGAAAGCCGACTCCGCTCCATATCTGCAAGGAACAGAAGAGAAAGAAACGATTTTAGTCCGTATGAGAAGACAAGAACGAAGATCTATGGAAGAGAACGAACTTGTTGCGGACCGCGTTGTACAGCGACGGATCAAACATCTGCCAAAACTCCCCCTCCGACTGCTCAACCTCCGCATAGAGGCACTGATACGACCGGCTGTCTCGTAGCCACTTCTCCATGTTCTTGGTGGCCTGGACGCCATCCCACACCTCGCACCTCAGCACGGGCCCGGGCACGCCCCAGATGCCAACATCCGTCCACATCTGCGCGTAGTCCGTATCCCCTGGTTGTTTGTTGCTGCTGAATCCAGGCTCGCAATCGAGCATGGTGCCCATCTCCGTCTTAAACAGCCGGTGGGGACAAAGCCATAGCGGATAAGTCTGCAGCCAAAGCCAGCCAAGAAACCAGACCGGTGAGAAGAAAGAGACTAGACTAAATGGACATGACCAGCCAACAAACTCAAGCTCGAGAAAAGAATCCAATCTGACACGCACCTCAAAGTTCTCGTGACAAAACTCCAGGCAGGCAGCGAGCTTGTGATTCGGTACTAGCATGTCCTGGCAGGCATGACGCTGGATGTAATATTTTCGAATCCCGTCCGTTTGCGTCAGCTTTAGCAGGCTCACCTGTGAAGCAGTAAACAACAGAGAGAAAAAGGAGCTGATAACGCTGACGAAGAGAAACGATAGGAGGAAAGAAAAACTCGTCCAGTACCTTTGGAGGCATGAGCCAGCCGAGTAAGAGCCTGAAGAGCGGGTGATTCCCCATGGGAACAATGAGACCACCCTCCCAATACAAGGAGCGAGTGTGCCGGTGGTAGTACGAGCGCACAGGCACATACTCCACAAACGTACCCCGCTCCAGAGCGCTCTGCGCGTGGATATGGAACCACGGCTTCCACCACCACCCGAAATCGTTGATCACATTCCCCTTCCTCGCCGCTTCTTCCCTGGTGGCATATCGCCCAGTTGTAATCACTGCTGTGGATCCCGAGTATACGATCCCTTCCACAAAATCGGGAACCTGGACCATCGCCTTTTTTACTCGAAAAGAGGAAGAAAGAAAGAAAAAGAATGTACCTTCTCGGGATTGTCTTGATCGAGATCCCGTGGACAGAACAAATCCTCGTACACCTCCGCGATCTTGGCGAGGCTACCGACAACCGGGCTGTAAGTCACCTTCATGAACTCCTTGACGGGAATGAGCCGGATCTCCACTCCAACCAGCAGCCCAATGGATCCATGCGACCATGGCACCGCTTTGTAGAGATCCGAGAACTCGTTGTCAGCGGTGGCGCGCACCACTCTCCCGTCTGCCAGGACCAGCTCGAAAGCGCTGCAAGTCTCGGCAAACAATCCATAGATGTGGCTGCTGCCCTCGATCCCATACCCGTTGATGACGCCGCCAATGGTGAGGTCGTCCAGCTCGGGGAGAACCTCCGGCGCCACGCCAAACGGGAGCGTGGCAGCGCTGAGCTGCGACATTGTCACCATGGGCTCGCACTTGATGAGCAGGCGGCGGCGATCGATCCACACCACGTTGCGCAGCTCGCCCAGATCCACCTCGTAGCGCGCGCCGCGCTTGTGCTCGGCGTTGCGCAGCGCCACTCCCAGCCACGGCCGCCGCGCCGTGCACACGAGCCCGTCGCGCTGGGGGTCGCGCTGCTTGACGCGCCGCCGGACGCGCTCCACGGCCGCTCGGTGCGATTCCTCCGACGGCAGCCCATGGAGCAGCGTCCAGATCGCGGGCAGCCACCGCACAAGCTGGTAGAAGAGGAAGGAGAGCGGCAGGATGACCGGAATCACGACGATCCACCGGAACTGGATGAGGAAATCCGCAATGGAGGGCGCCCGCTTCTCCCTGGCCCTCTTCTCCTCGCCCCGCCGCTGCTGATCCATGGCGCTCGGAAAGAATCGATCCAAGCCGCCAGGGATCGATCGCCCCCTCTGGAGCGTCCACCAAACCCTAGAGAGCAATGCGCTACAAAGAAGAGAAGCAAAGAAGAACAATGGTATTTCAAACAAAATCCCTCGCCACCCTTCATGTCCAACGATAAGTATATTCCTTCACGTTTAATCTTGGCCGTCGGATCATTCACCCAGACAAAGCATATTCCCATACCTAAGAGAATATTCGTTCAATCATAGCCGTTGGATTATTCATTATTTCTCCCAAAATATATATATGTACAAATATAAATGTGAATCAACCATCAAACAAAAGCTATCTATCCTCGATCAGTTCCCCGCCGTCCGATCCCTGCCCAGCGAAAAGAAGGAAAGAATCTGTTTCTATAGCGTAGTTTTGCTCGGCCTCGAGAGGCTGCTCGAGATCCCCGCCGACTTAAACTTGGAGCTCAGGCCTTGCAAATCGACCAGGTCCTCAAACAGCTTGTCCGCCGGATTGGATGGCTTGGAAGTTCCACTCCCTGTTGTTCCTGGCGATGGACTCCCAGTCGAGCTCGACGAGCCCGCCGGAACGAGAGCTAGGTGATTGAAATTCATACCTGGCTGCTGCTGCTGCGAGTAGGCCATGCCGTTTTGGTAGTATGAACTCGCTCCATACTGATAGTTATACTGGTCCGCGTAAGGATACTGCTGAGTGTAAGGACTGTAACCCGAGGATCCACCATAGTAGCCACCACCACCACCGGAGCCACCGGAGTTATACAATTGCATTTGCTGCTGGGACACCCAGGGAGCTGGAGTTGGCTGCGACGGCGCTTGCGAGCCTTGGACGCCACCATAGATGAGAGCTTGCTGCTGGGGGCTCAGCTGTTCCTTTGGGAGAGCCCAGGGGGCAACGTAACTCTGGGGACTGCTCGCGTCGTTGCTGCCCGGGTTGTAAGCACCGCTCGTCGCGGTGTAGCCACTGTTGGGGTTGGTCGAGTTGTAAGGACTGCTCGTCGCGTTGTAGCCACTGTTGGTCGTGCCGTAGGGACTGCTCGGATTGTTGTTGTAAGCTGGTGCTCCTCCCCCAGCCTGTTGATACTGGGGAAATGCAAATCCCTGCGAAGAACTTCCACCACCATTGGCAAACTGCTGCTGCTGCTGCTGCTGCTGCTGCTGCATAGAGCTGTATTGAGGAGGACTCGAGTATGACCCCGAGCTCGGCGGCTGACTGGCGAAAGATGTCCCGTTTGGAATCTGTTGCGCTTGAGAAAAGGACGGTTGAGTCTGCGGCTGCTGTGTCGCGTGAAATGCCGGACCAAACGGATTTCCGGCCGAAAGATCGGGTTGCGATACGGGAGAGCCTGATTGTAAAACGGACGGAGGCGCAGCGGGAGTAGCAGGAGCTGCCGAAGAACTCCCCACCAGGTTTTCTCCACTGAGAAGGTCTATAAGGTCTGCTGCCTTTTGCGGGGTACTTGGCTCTTTCTTCGGTGTTGGCGGAGCGGGCAGCGCGAGTTGCACGAAAGGATCACTTGGTTCGGTCGGTTGAGCAGGCTTGGATGATCTGGACAAGCAAGGAGATTGAAGATCTTCACACGAACTTTATGACTTACCTGCGAGATAACTGAGCAAAATCATCTTCAGGTTCTTGTTTAACTGGAGTTTTGTTTTGAGACGCCCCCACCACCGAAGACGGAAGTGGCTCCTTGGGTAAGGCCTTCCCTGCTGCAATAGCATCGTGCTTTTCCAAGACCTTTTGTAAATCGTCATTTAGTCCCAATCCTTGACGGAGTAATTCTTCGTCACTGAATACGCAATCAACGTAAGTTCCTCAAAATGAAGATAAGATTCTTACGATGTATTATTCACAAGATGCATAACCCGTTGCTGCGTCGAGCGGCACTGCTCCACCAGCTCCACTATGAGCTCATCCTTAACAGCCTAAAAAAATTTGCAACAGAATAAATGTTAAAAGCTACATTCTATACAGTGCTTGCCTGCTTGTCACGAGGGTTGACAGCATTTAGCATCTCCAATAGAACCTCCACTCTTCCACGAGCGGTGTCAATATCAGTCAAGCTGCCAAAAATTGGTAAAGTTACGAAACACTCAAAACATATCCAAGCGTTTACCTGAGACCAGGCATGTCGTTGTTCATCAGTGATTCGAGTCTTGCAGGCATATGAGCAGGCGAGCCATAGCCTGGTGACGGCTGAACAGGATGCGTTTGAGGCGGAGTAAAAATTGGTGCATCTCGTTCGGCAGGACGATCGGGAAATTCAACACCCATCCTCTGAAAAAGACATTTCGAGTTCATATTGCTTTTAGGAAGGGAAGAACTTACCCTCAGCTCTTCAAAAGCCATATAGTATTGTGGATATCTTCCCCGCGAGCCTCCGAATGCCTCTTGCCATGAGCTCAACAACACAAGAATTTTGTCCCTTACATGCATATCCGTCTGTCCGAGATACTCCACACGTAAGTAAAAACGTTACAATCCCAGACAAGTAGCCGAGCACCTTTCTCTTGACGATCTTCACCATTTCGTGCAAAACATCCTTTTCAGCTACTTGTTGGTGGACTGCCACGCCACAGTTTTTCACAATGGTCTCCAGCACCTGCGAGAAAAGAAGAGTTCAAAAAGAAATCAAAGAATAGCTTTAAGCAAAGGAAGAGAAAAACGAAAACACTCACTGTTAATGCTAGAAGCTGGACTTTGGGGCTGCGATTTCCCAAACGCTTCTTGATCGCCTTGACAACGTCCTTGGCCTGCCTGGAAAAAGTTTTTTTCCAATTGAATCGTGTGAGCTCGAGCTGGTTTTTACTTCCTGGAGCAAACTTACCCAGGATCGTGGTTGAGGATATCACATATCTCCATGTTCATGGCCCAATCGGGTCCTATGAGCATGTCGCTCGTCGCCTTATCGACCAAAGACGCCATAGCTACAACCCCTAGTCCAATCGAAGCTCAAACTCTAGCTACCCAAAACGACATCACAAATTCTCACTCGGACTGGTCAACTGGCCCCTTCCAAAAGACAAAGAAGAGTCTCTCTCCCGGTTAATCGCGCTACAGTAGCTCCTGATTTCCACTCTCCTCTCTCCCCAGATGAGGGGAAAAAACACGAGGAAGAAAAAACCCGTCTACCTATCGATCGACTCCAGCTCCAGCGGCGACGAGAATCCAGCGATTTCGCGGAGGAATTGAGCTGATCAGAGCTGCGCCATAGCCCCGCGGCCGCCCATCAAACCCTAAACCTGCGAGGCTCATTGGTTAATCCGCCCGGTTAACTTGCAGCCTTTTGACGTGGCAAAGTGCATTGAACTATCCAACGGCGGGTGCGTGTGCCACGTCATCAGCTGCTGCCCGCGGGATTCGAACCCAGCGCCTGCCCCAGGCGATGCCGAGAATATGCTCACGTCTGAACCAGGTAGTTACTGGCACTACACTGGAAGACGAAGCGTTTGAACCAACGTTTGTATAATCCTGGCTAGTTAAATCAAGCTAAAAATCTCTCAACGATCATCGAATTCGTCCCATTTTTTAAGCGTACGGAGAAAATTAGGGCTAGTACGAATATTCTTCTTTCGCTTAAGAAACTGACGTGGATTTGCTTGCGTCTGTTTCTTTGCTTTTCAAAATGGTTCCCATTCTAGGGTTTGATGCGCGGATGGGGCGTGGGAGCGTCCGGCAATCAATCGCCACCGGGAGTGGAAGCTGCGCCGCCGCGCCATGGTGCTGAGAAGCTGCGCGCCTAGCTGCTACCACAGGTATGCCCTACACGTCGCCCGCCGGAGGAAGCACTCAATGGTAGCCTCGGCGTCGCTGCGAAGAGCTTCTCTCGCGCTGCCCATCCATTTGCCGCCGCCGCCGCCGCCGCCGCCGCCCTCTTGCTCCACACCGCCACCGCTCGTGGATGTAGGGGATTACTTGGAGTTTTGGGATCACGTCATGTCGGGTGCTCTTCGCAAATCCTTGAGGAAGGTACTCCGCAAGAAGAAGTTGGCGACTCCTACGGCGCTGTGGTGTGCTCCTCCCGCCCTCTACGTTGATCCGGGCCCTTCCTCTTCGTCTCCTTCCTTCTCTCTAGCGGAGTTTAGCTTGCAAGCGGCCAGGAACAGCACAAGTAGGCAGCGACTGAATTGGAACCCATTGTCTCTCCGGTGTCGGCAGCTCAGTGTTCGTCACAACACGCAGCCAGCGCAGACGCCACCCACGTCTCCTTCGAATCCGTCTAGCTCACTGCTCCTCACGTCATCCGTGGCGCCACCCACAGTGCCCGCTTCCTCCAATGCGCGAAGAGCTTTCCTCGTCGATACTCTCGCGGTGGTACGTGAAACTTTCCTCTCTCGCTTTTCTAACTCTAGCTTCTCCCATTTTCTCCTAGATGCGAAGGCTCGAAGCTCAAGAGCTCAACCAGAGGCAAGCTGAGGCTATCACCGCCGTTGTGACTTCCGTGTTGAATGATAGCCTGGAGAGCGTAGCACACTCGTACACGTCCAAGACCGACATGCAAAAGGTGTGTATGGACTAGTTCTTGCTCGTATAGCTCTGACTTTGTTTGCGTGTCTCTGAAACACAGTGTGAGATGATGCATGACGCGTCGCTTTCCAAGTTCAAGGCTGAAATGCAGAGTTCTTTGGTACGTCAGTAAACAGCTACTGTGACGGCTTTTTAAGCTTCGTTTCATATGATGCGTACAGGAGCACCACTTTGCTACCTTGCAGCGTGAATCGGAGAGGCTCCGGACGGACATGGAGAAAATGAGAAGCGAGTTGAGGTAGTAGACAGATTCGCGTTTTTGATCGAGCTCTCATGCGCGTGATGCAGATACGAAATAGACAAGGTACAGGCAAACCAACGCCTTGACTTGAACCTGGAAAGGGGGTAAGGTATCTATTGTTGTAGGAAAACTCCAGGTTTCTCTAGCGATATAACAGCGATATAAACCTGTATGAGCTGTGCTCGGTGTGTGTGACACAGGCATATAAGGGACGAGTTGAACAAGCAGCAGGCTGAAACATCAAATTTAACCAACAAACTAGACCGGGTGAGTATTTTTTGTTTCTCACAGGGGCAGAAAACTGATAGAGGATGTATACAGGAGATTCACGGTCTCAAAACTCAATTGGAAGCAGGAAAGTACGAAGTAATCAAGTACTGCATAGGTAAGCGTTGCTATTTGTACGGTGGATTCATGTTCATGCTTGTGGTTGCAGGAACAATTGTGTCTATTACCGCTGTTGGCCTTGGTTTACTGCGGATTATAATGTGAACATTCAACAATTCAATCATTCATTTTGTGTTGTCTAAGAAAGTATGCCTAAGAACGAAAATAATGTTTTAACTCCTACCACCTTTTTTGTTTTTTGAGTCACGCTGCTTGATCTTTAATCCATTGTTTGTCGATGAGCTTTGGCTTGGAAGTGTTGGCTAAGCCACCCTGAGTTTCTTCACAGCTGGATGGCTAGAGTGTTGTTGTGGAGTGAATCTCTTCCTTCCACAACAAGTTGTGATATTGGCAGGAGTAGCCCGTGTGGTGCTACAGTTCTCTAGAATCCAAGGATGATTGATCACTCGATCTAGTGTCAATCGCTTCCTGGGATCCAAATCCAGCATGCCCATGATCAGATTTTTTGCCTCTGGCGACAGATTGGCAGGCCACTGGAACTCCCCCTCGCGCAGCAAATGCATCTCCAGGTTCGATCGCTTGTAGCCCTTGAGGAGTTCGTATGCGATCACTCCAAGCCCCCAAACATCCACCGCCTTGGTGTAAGACAGCCCATATCTCTCGACAAAGATAAGCTCGGGAGCCATGTACTTCTCAGTCCCGCAGCTCTGGCTCATCTCTCTGGCATCGTCGGTCGCCACTCCAAAGTCCCCAATCACCGGCCTGATCGTGCTTGCATCTTGCAGCTCGGTGAAAACGTTCTCCAGCTTGAGATCGCGATGGACAACACCACTCGAGTGGACGCCCTGGAGTGTCTCCGCCAGCTTCTTAACGATCTCGGCTACCTCCTCCTCGCTCAGTGGCCCTTTCATCGCTAGATCGCGCAGGCTAGGGCCACAAAGTTCCATGACCATCGTTCCAAAGCAACGCCCGCCAACCTTCCTCTCCCTCCTCAGCCCCCGGAGGAAGACAACTCCAGGAATGGGGCGAAGCTTGTCCAAGATCCTTGTCTCCCTTTCGGCACAACTCTCCGACTTAAACATCTTTCCTGCGTACCTATAGCGGTTGTGGGCTGCGTCTCTCAGCAAGTAGACCTGGCCCTGTCCTCCATGCCCCAACTTCTCGTGTCTGGTGTACCAGTTGAGAAGCTCGCCACACTCGTCGTCTCTAAACTCGCCATCCTCGAGCGCCATCACGTCTTCTCCTTTTTTCTCGCTTGGTTTAAAGAAAACCTAGCTTCCCACAACAGATTTATACTGAGGGTAAAAAGTGATCGCGAAAAGGCCATTAGTTTTATTAAAGTAAAAACTAAAAATTTCAGTTAAAAGCTAGGTATTTGTGAAAGTTTACTACATATATACCAAATAGAATACATTAGTAGTTCAATCTAAAATCATAATTTTGTTATTATAATAAAATTACATAATTATTATTATGGTGTTGTATACTATATTTATCCCATATTCAAGATGAAAATTAGAATAGATCACTCTCAAATTTTATTTTACCATTTCTTTAATATTACTTTTTTTCAATTATTTGTTATAATGTTCATATAAAGTAGCATGTTTTATATAGTATATAGAATATTTTCAAATTCAGTGTATTTGGTGGAGCTATGATGGTCCTTATATAAAATTGGTATTTGATGTTTTCAAAATTACTTTCATTACATTTTTTTTATTTTTGTTTGCTGTTTTAATAACATTTCTTTCTAAAATCATTGTGGCCAATTATATCATCAACATTTCTTTTACATCATGTATTCTCATTAATTTTTTTAAATTTATTAATAAAATGTAATCACATTTTAAAACTTTGTGGTCTATATATATATATATATATATATATATATATATATATATATTCACTTATAAACCATTTAGTTATTATCGGAAAAAAAATTCTAGACTACAAACCATTTCAGTGAACCTAAATACTCAAATAACTTTCTATTCAAATTACCTTTAGTCTTTAGGAGGGAACACCCAAGGAAGTTAAGATTTCAAAACAGACAATGGTACATGATGCAAGCAACGCAAAACACTTTTGAATAACTGTAATACTAATGCTTAGTTCTTAATAATAGTGGCATGAAACTAAATGTAACATATAAGGTGGACGTGCCAGAGTGGTTATTGGGCATGACTAGAAATCATGTGGGCTTGCCCGCGCAGGTTCGAATCCTGCCGTCCACGAATGTCTTGACAATCTTTGGAGTTTTTTATTTGAGTGCTGGTCATGTTCTTCAATATTTGTTTCTAATAAAAAGTTTAATAGCTCTCCCAATGTACAAGATCAGGACAAGAAAGGAGAAAACCAAAGAAAAAGGAAAAGAAACCAGAGCAACGCTTGTTGCGCATTTCCGCCTGGCTTGGAACAAATATTATTTTCTCTCCGCTCTTCCCACAGAGCAGCATTCCTATGTCGATCAAACAAAGAAGCACTTGAGCCATGAAGAAGATTAACCAAACGTCCTAATGAGAACCTTGAAAGAGCTTGCTACATTGCTTTCACTTCGCTCGCGCTAGTAGCCCGACGACGGAGGCGGAGGAGACTTGTACACCGGAGAAGGAGTCGGAGGCTTGTAAACCGGAGTGGGAGGCTTGTAGACGGGAGAAGGCGTGGGAGGCTTGTAAACCGGAGCTGGAGTGGAAGGAACCGTGGGAGGCTTGTAAACCGGAGCTGGAGACGAAGGAACCGTGGGAGGAGCCTTGTACTCTGGAGCCGGGTACGAGTAAGATGGAGGAGACTTATACTCTGGAGCCGGGTACGAGTAAGATGGAGGAGACTTGTACTCTGGAGTGGGATAAGAATAAGATGGAGGGGACTTGTACTCTGGAGCCGGGTAAGAATAAGATGGCGGCTTATACCCTGGACTTGGATGCGAAAAGTATGGGAATGGAGGAAGCGGTGGGAAGTGGAGCCAGTCGAGCGTCTTCTGCTCTTCCAGGGGTCTCGCAGCAAAAACAGTTAGTCCACATGAGGAGATCCCAAGGATTACCAGGACCGCTAGCAGCAGAGGAGACGAGCGCTCTCCCATTGCGAAGAAACGAGCGTGAAAGTGTGCCCGCGTCCCGAAACCTTCACTCCTCCTCAGGCTCTTCTGCAGATATCTAGAGCTCGTCCTGTGGCCCAGGATATATAAACCAAAAGCCGCCTGGATGATAATTAAGCTCGTTTAATGAACTTTCGTGAGCGCCGCTGTATTGCAAAGCACGACCGCCGTAAACCTCGAGAGCGATGGAGTGCAGCTGGAAAGCGAGAAGAAACGAGGCAACCATGTCAGAAACGAAACCAAAGATGGGCCTGCATACCACTGGAATGTGTGCGGTACCTTTGCACCTACTGGCGCTAATGGACGACCAGTTAGCCGAGAGGACATAAAGTCCGATTGGCTGGCGCCACGCAGAGGACAATTCCCTGGCGCCGTGTATGTGGATCCGCATAAAGGATGTGGACCCAAGGATGAATTCTCTTGCAGTCCATCAATACCTCGTTATTCATGGATTGATCTGCACCATAGAACACATTTGGTTGTTAGTCATTCTGGCACAAGTAGACGAAACTTGGTGTCATGTCTCAACTACCGTTAAAAACTCACAGCGTTTATGCACTGGAAAGCGCCCCAGCAATCCATCCAGCAAAGATAACTGGAACATCAAAACAAATTGCTTACACCCCTTGTTCTTGGTCTTTCCTATCGGCCCTGCAAGAGAGTGAATGCAACCGTCAGCTCAACTCACTTCACATGGAGGAAAGGAGGATAAATTAAAAGAGTGAGAACCAACCAGAGTCAGTAGCAACAGCGGCAGCTCTCCGAAGTAGTAAACTCATATTCCTTACCGGCGGAATACGGGCAATTCAAGGAAAGAAGCACCGTCAGACCAGGCAGTATTATTTACAACCGTAACCATAGTTTTCACAGTGTCTCACAAATGCCTGTGATGAAATGAGCTCCACGCCATCACACAGCATTAGATGACAGCATATATAGACGGATTGAAAGAGATGGTACTCCCTTAAGCAGTTTGAAAATCTCCAAACTCGTCCTCACATTCACTTACAGTGTTCTCTAGGCTACTTGCTTTAGTATCATCGTTTGTCAGAGATTCTGAAGGGCCCAGTGGAAAAGATGGCCAACCAGTTGGAGCCTCGGAGGATTTCAGAGATTGCGCATCCGTGAATGTGGACTTTCCTGCAGCTTCGCCGCTCGGCTATACATGACACCCGATTAGTTACAATCAACAGACAAAAATATTCTAAGCATGTTTACCTTTTTCAAAGACAAGCGGATCGTTTCGCCGCTCTTCAAACTGTAATCAACCGCGGGCTTGGTCTGGTATTCTTGTTCCAATTCTTCCGCTTGCTTCTTCTTGTTCAAGTAGCTATACCATGTTAAAGAAACCGGCAGAATTGTCTACGTAAAGAAAGGATACTTCACATGATCATAAAGAGCAGCTTCAAAATCGTAGGCTTGTGGCCTCTCTCTGAATCCTATCCCGATGAACGCGTGCCGAGACTTCCCACCTACATGCCAGTACAAATAGTCAGCTGTCTCCTTCACACAGCTGCACTTAACTGGAGTTGTCCTCTATCCGCAGCACAAAGTACCTGCAATGACACAAAAGCTAGAACACAATGAAACAAAAAGAAAAAGAAACACTCTAAGAAGTATGCTTATGTCGTCATTGTAACTTCTAACAAACCTGCTGCTGTCGATGACACGCTCAATAGGCAAAGGCTCGTCCTTGCGCACGGACGCCTGCGCATAGAGTTCTCCTACAAACACACGTCGCATTAGTTGTGTTTCAAGTAAAGCGCTTCCACCTGAAGTTTTATCTTCTAGTCTTATGGTGCACTCTTCACCCTTGCTGCAAATTTTCATAGCTCCTTCCCAAGCCCACTTGTTGACATCCCACTCGTCTGCTCTGCAGAGAGAGAGATTTTAAATTAAAAAAAAAAAAAAAAAAACAGGAGTTGGAAAAGTACGTGATAGTTTTAAGCAAAAGAAGGAAATGGTGCTATTCACCTGTAAGAAGCAGCGGATCGTCTCGGAGGTATCAAGTAGACATAGCATTCCTTGGCGTGAAAGAGAACGAGCTCGGTATTCTCAACTAAATCGTCAGCTGGTTCTAAAGTAGTTACGTCCTTCGGCATTTTAATTCTTCCAGCAAGATCACAACCAAGCCACTGCAATCATAAAGAAAGATGTCATAATGCCAAACACACCACGCAGCAGCGTCATATAGCTTCTACTAATTCTCTCCTTTCCAGCGAATTCTCTACAAAACCTCTAGGTTCTACTTCCAGAGGCCAGAAATCGTGGAACAGCGAATTTTTGCGTGGATCAAGCGCAAGAAGCATTTCTAAGCTGTGGCGCTCGGATCACACGAAATTCTAAGCTGCACAGACCGATGGGAATGGCCAGATTGCTTACCACGCGCGCCAAACCCTCGCTCTCTCTGTTTTTAGGGCTCCTCAAGGCACTTTTCCTCTTTTATGACCTTACACCTTTTTCCCTCGCAAAGCTCATTTGTAACAGACTATTTTAGGGTTCTAGGCTGTAGTTTTGGCGATTGAGGACGGCGATGTGAGGTAAGATCACCGATCCCAGCCACAGCTTGCCATCGCGCTCCTCCACCTCGCTGACGTGCTTCACGACCTTTCCCTCTCGATCTTCCAGGATTTCGAGGAGCTCCCCCTGGGCGCTGTAGCGCGCGACCATGCCGTAAGATCTTCCCATAAGGTAGTAGAATGTGTACTCAAGAGGGATTGGAATGCGCAGCAGGAGCGTCTTGAGCCGGGGATGGCTGGCCAGGAATTCCATCCGGCTGCTTCGACTGTACATTGCGACCCAAAACTCGCCCCTTTCGTTGAGCCGGACGTTGTCTGGATTGCCCGGAAGCGTCGTAAAGACATCCGTGGTTCCAGCTTTTGGGCCTTTGAGCCAGTAGCGAAGCAATCTGGTAAGATACATCGCGTAAGCAATCTTCTCCTTTTCTATAGCTTCCACTTTTCTTTTCTTTTTTCTACCTTGCAGTGATGGATTCCGCTATCAAGATGAAGGAGCTATCGTTGTTCACCGCGATTCCATTTGGAAACCGGAGCTTGTCGAGCACCACGATGGTTTTCTTAGACTGAGGATCATACCTCAGTAAACGGCCAGTGTTATCCCCCTCGAGCACTGAAACAAGGTACTGTCTGCGCTTTTTTTTTCTCGCGCTTTAAAGAGAGAAGAAATAAGAGAGCTTTGTTACCTTCTTTGATATCTTGTGCTTGTATCAGTGAAATATACGAAGCCTTTGTCATCAAAGTCGACATCGTTGGCGAACTTGATCTTCTGGCCATTTACTTCGTTGGCCAGGACCTGTGCCTGGCCTCCCTCCGAACCAACGACCATCAAACCCATGTAAGCATCGGCAATGTAGAGCTTTGACGAGCTTTTGTTGAATCTCAGGCCCAGTGGACGTCCACATATGTGTTCCTGCTTGAAGTACACGATCGGGGGATTCCGGGGATCGCACTCTCTGGTCCTGTTTCAATCCATCATCAGAGGTAAAACGTGATAGAGAAACCTTTTCTCGTCTTTCTTCTCCCACACGTACCTATTCGCAGACGTCGTTGCAAACTCCCTCCAGCCAACTTCGGAGCCTTGCCACAGAAGCACACGTCCGTCACTCACGCCAGTGTATGGGCCTCGTCCTTTGGAATCAAAGGCAATGCTCTCGGGTCCCAGGAACTCATTCTCGAACCGCAGCATAGCTCCCAGCAGCCGGTTGCTCGGATCCTTGAGCATGGTGGCGGCATTTTGGACTGGCGGCTCCACATACTTTGCCTGAAAGCTGGGGATCTGCCTCACGAAGCTGAGACGCAGCGGGTCCATTGCGACGATCACGACGAGCAAGCCGCACAAAGCCCGGCATGTTACGAGCGTGTTTTTCTGGAGCTTCTCAACAGCCATCTACTGTCAGCTTACACACGCAGACCTCGGTGAGGCGATATGCTTCGAAACTCTGTGAGTTTTTCTCACGGTGTTTTCGTTTTTCGTTTTTGGATTTCTACTTTTCGCGTGTGTTTTTCGGCCTTGCAGGCTGCAAGAAGACAGCCGGCATCTTTTCATGCGAAAAGATGGTGGGCAATTTTCCAATCACACGGTGGGTGGTTCATTCTTTTTGCACTGTCTGACATGAGGAACATATCCAGGTACTTGTTTTATGGCCCCAACCAAGATCCCGCGAGAGCTCTGGTGGACCTACTATACAAAATCTCTTCTCTTCTGTTTTCTCCAGGGACACGATTTTGACCAGTAGGTACTTTTCGCAACACGTCTTTGCGCTGCTAGAACTCGAAATAAAAACGATTCATAAGCTGAGTAACCTTGCAGGCGGAGTCTCGTTGCCGATCTCGAGACAACGTGAAGGTAGAGTAGAGCACTTACAAGAATTACTTACAATTTAAGAGTCCAGAACATTAAAAAATAAAACAACATATCGTGCAGTGATGTGTAGAAAATCGGCTATGGCTGACGAAACAGTTGACTCTACAAGTCTGGCTCTCTCTCTCTCTCTCTCTCTCTCTCTCTCTCTCACACACACACACACACAAAAGTAATGAAGAGCATATAATTTCTCATTTTCAGCAGGGAAATTCATCTGAAAGTGTTGAAGCCTGCATGTCAAACTCTCCAATATGCCGCCCAAACTTCCTGGGGTCTGAATGCTGGTCGTGTCTGCATGAAGCATATCCTCGACAAACTGGCATGTTCTGCATCACAACGATGTCCCTCTGAAGCAGCGAAATCCACAGCCGTAGAATCCCAGCTCCTGGAATCCAATCTTACTTGGCAGCCATGTTTTAAATCCTTTGGCGCCCAACTAGATACATAGGAGACTGAATGTTTTCCATTAAAAACAATCCACCAGATTGTTGTATTTTGCAAGGATATAGAAGTAACAAAGTCTACATAATTGGAGAAGTAATCCAAAGCTGTTCTTTAAGTAGGGTTCTATTGCAGGAGAGCTTGTATGGGCCATGCAGCTTTATTTTAAGTGCTTCTGACTGGTATGTTATTTCACTTTAGAAAACCACTGAGCTTGACTTCTTTGATCAAAATAGATTTTCATCGTACAAGTCAAGCTTCTGGTTTGTTCAAGTGAATTAGCATACAAGGAGAACACACTGAGATATGGGCCATACAAGCTCTCTTGTGAGAGGGACATATACTTGTGCAACAACTCTGGACTACTTCTACAATCATGTAGATTTTCTTGCTTTCAGATGGATCTTGCATACCAGTCTAACTCACCAAGATTAAAAGCTCACCATGACACCAGGATTCCTCAAACACATATGTGGCAAGCATTACGTTCCAGCACATTATATCTTGTTAATGAATCTTCTGAAAGCCTTGCAGGGATTCCCTCTAGACCACTTTGTGTTAAGGCACCGCATTCCAGGTTTCTGCTTTGGGCATATGCTGCGAGCTTGGCATTATCCATAAAACGGGCATAGAATTGATTCAATCAAGCCCAGCTCCATATTATATACACTTCCAATATCAAATCCCAGGAGAAGGGGATAAAGCGAGTGTTTTCTAGCCTTTGTTCACATCTAAGATCTTAAGCTTGCAGTGAAGCTTTTGAGCAAGCATGAGATCCCTGATGTATAGCTTGTTCAGATCCATCTCACCATCGTTTCAGTTAAAATTTATCAAAATGAGTGTACTGAGAATGAAATACTACAATATTCTTTTGTTAATTTTATATTATCAGAGCAAAAGGTGGAGTCCCTTACATAATTTGTTCTTACAATATATACAATTCCTGATCTTTCATGTTTCTTTACTAACGCCCAACATAGTTATTTCTTCTTGGTATGTTCTTGTTCTTGTTTTTCTTTTATATTCAGGAAGTTCATTCGTTTGAACCCGTTTGGAAGTGGATGCGTAACTCCCCAATGTAAAAATCACTACGGTCGGAGAATCCATGGTAGTTTGTCTTCTTCGCCTGGCGGTTTGCGAAGCTGCATTGCCGATCTGTTGTGCCGCGGAGATTCTCATTGTGTGCTTTGATCTTAGGAATGTCACAAATCGCAAGGGCTGGGGAGTAGATCCACTCATGTTTGATTTGTAGTTTTGGGTGTATGCTCTATAAACAAAAACTCTTCAAAAGTCCTCTCTAACCGGCTCTGGACGAACATCCAGCAGCCGCACAGGCTTGGTCATGTCCAACACTTTGCGATGATCCTCGCCGAAAATCTCCGCCGCGTTCTTCTCCGAGACCTCCACCACGAGCTGCGGGCCTCCCCTCGCCGGATACACCACTCTCGTGTTCTCGCCACTGCTCTCCGCCGCCGGGTACGTTAGCATGAGCCGGATATATCCAGCCGACCATGGAACGCTGCTCGAGCTTCTCACGAACTCCTCGAACGCCTGCCTCTTGGCCTGCTGGATCCCAGCGTCCTTTCTCGGCGGATCGCCCCTCCAGGCCGTGTAGGCCGCCTCTGGATCCGTGCAGTGCATCGCCCCCGCGTAAGATCTCGTCCTGTGCTTGTACTTCACGTAAACTCCAGCGCCGATCGTTCGCCCGTCACGGAAGCGCACGAAGAAGAATGCGTCGGGGCCGGCCATGCCCTCGCAGATGAGGAGTGGAGCTCTCGACTCGTCCGGCTGGCTCATGAACTCCAACAGCCCCGCGTTGATGCTTCCGGCCTGGACCCAGGGGCCGCTCGCCTTCTCGGCGTTGACGATGCTAGCCGGCTGCTGGAAGATCTCCGGGAGCTCCACGCCTTTGAAGAGAGCGTGCTGGTGTAGCGGGGTGGCGCCATCGAAGAGCTTCACCAGGTCGTCGAAGAGGTGCATCTCCCACAGCCTGCCTTTGCCTTGGACGAGCGACGAGACTCTGAGCTCCTGGAGCAGCTCCGCGTCGGCGCTGAAGTGCTTGTGGAGGACTTTGACGATGAGCGGCTCGTCGATCTGTGCCGAGACCATCACCCCGGGGGCGGCCAGGCACTCTCCCGTGGCCGGGTCGTCGACTGGAATGGTTTGCATGCGAGCGAAGCCGAGGTAGACCATTTTCATCTCTTTCACCGTGATGGCCTGGAAGGTGTCACCCCACCACGCGAACGCCCTGTAGACGTTCCTCACCAGATCGTAAGTAGTCCTGTCGATAACTCTCATCTCCTTGAGCACGTAGGCGTGGGTGTGCCTCGCATCGATCTTCTCTAGCGCGTGAGTCTCGTAGTCCCGGATGCAGTTCTCCACTGACTTGTACGTCGTCGGCTTCGAGTTTGGATCCAGGCCACCGAGAAGCCCCTCGACGCAGTTGACCAGCGGCCGCATCCTTCCGCTCCAGGTCCACAGCAGAGCCCGGCACTCCTCCACTGTGACTTGCATGAACGTGTCCAGGTATGCCTTTAGTTGCATCTCGTTCTCCCATACCGAGAAGTCGGCAAACTTGACGGTTGGAGTCTGCTTGAGAGGTCCCAGGAGGCTCGTCTTGTCCTCGAGCATCTCCAGGCCCGAGCCGCAGATCACCAGCTCGTGTCCCTTGAGAGTTTCGCTTGGAAAGAGCATTGCCTTCACCATCGGGTAGTAAATGGAGATGGGAACCAGGTGGCTCTTTCGCAGAGGGAAAACGTTGGGCCGGCAATGGAAGAGGACGTGAGCTTCTTCGAGCACGACTCTGAGCTTGGGAACCCCGTACTGGAGGTGTGCCCAGACTTTGTCAATCTGACGGGTCATGTCGTCGTTCTCGTATTCCCCGCACAATACTGCCGTGAGCTCTCGGAAGATATCCATCCCAGTCATTCGAGGTCCTTCCACCTACAAAAAAACAAGCTCTTAGACAGAAACAACGAAGACAACAAAGTCTAGCTTACCTGGAGCTGGAGAAAGATGTAAGGATTAAAGCCTGGAACGCGCAACCGGAAGATATAGTCGAGGACCAGCATTCTTCCCAGCAGCAACGCGCGTGCGTGTTGCTCGGCTATGACGTCCCGCTTTGGAACGTCGTAAACGTCGTCCATAAGAACTTGCATCATACGTTGGCAGTAGACTGTGTCGCCTGACCCCCGGTTAACTTCGCTCTCCGCCGTGTAGTAGAATCCGTACTCGTTGGAGAGAAGCTCAAACATGCACCGTGTTTTCCCACAGCCGGGAGCTCCCAAAACCATCACGAACTTGTCCTCTGACTCTCGCAGCAGCTGCTCAATTCTCTGTGTCTCGGGCTTGCGGTTCTCGAGGCCCTGCCACTGTAGAAGCGGCCTTCCTCTTGCCTCTGGCAATGGCAACTTAGCTCGCTGGTGCCGATAGGTTCTTAGGCCGGATTTTCCCTGAGCAAACCTTGCAATAAATTCGGCGATGGTCATGTTGTTATTAAGTTTGGTGTCGAGATATTTTTTCCATGGCTCATCTGCAAGGGAGAACAAGACCGAATGAATCTCGCAAAACCAGGAAAAACAACACAAACTTCGAGAACTAGAACGAAAGTGTACCAGTTCTTAGATCATAGTCGGGAGGGCGGATTTTTTTTACTTTGACGGACCCAGGAAAGGCTTCAGCGTACCTGGAACAAGCAAAACCATCAATCGATCCTTCACGAATAAAAGCCAAAACAAATTATTTCACTTCGCCTGGAACGATCCACCCTCGACTGCTCGAGCGGCTGGCCCGGAGTAGAATCGCCGCTGCCTGCGACCCCAGGGATAGGGATATGCTGCCCAAACAATCCACACACACACTCGATTCAGCCCAATGCGCGACCGAAATCCCGAAATGCGGGCTCAAATCGATCGAAGAACGCACCTGTTTTCGCCATTCGACCGGGCGGAGTGGAATGGAGCGATGGCGGCGAGCCGCCGAGCCAGGGCTTGAGGAGAATGGCCATCTTCGCCTGCGCCATGGATAAACCCTGCCAAAAACCCTAGCTCTTTGAGTAGTATATTCGCTTCTTATCTCATTGGAGGGTTTCCTTTAGCATGGAGGAGGAGCGCTCGCCTCCTCCTTTGAAGAACTGCTATTGGGTTCTTCGCCATGGTCGAAGCGTGCCAAACGAGATTGGTCTCATCGTTTCTCACAAGGTACTTCCCTCGATCCACTGCTACATTCTATCAAAATCTAGAAAAAAGTCAAGGTAGTGAGAAGAAATGGTCAAAAGAAAAAATTCGCTGCCTCGTTACTTTGGAGTATAGATCAAGGCATGGATCTAAACTTACTTGGATTGCGAAAAAAATCATAGATCATGCTTTCAACTTAGCGATGGTGTATAGTTTTATTTTCTCCAATTTTCACTTTCCAACTTGATTGATTTTGATTGTAGAGCAATGGGACATTACCTCAGCATGGCCTCGCCGAGGGGGGATTCGTTCAAGCCAAGGCTGCTGGCGAGATCTTTCTTAAGGTACCGATTCTTCTCAGGAGAAAAACGCTTCTGAGAAAACTTTTGTAGCAACTGGAAGAGCACGGCAGCTTTAAGAACGTCGCCATTTGCTCTTCTCCCTTCACGCGGACCATGGAGACTGCAAACTGCGTAGCTGAAGTTCTCAAGCGTGCATACGAAAATTTGGAGATCAAAGTAAGTCCTTTGCATTTCCTTGTTTGTAAGACAAAAGAAGAATTCTCTCGTTGATTCAGGTCTTGGACGAGCTGCGTGAGAGGTACTTCGGGCCAGCTCTAGAGCTGCAGTCTCATCTTCACGTAGAAAGTTTGCTGTTTTTTTTTTTCTCGCTCTGTCTTTAAGCTCCATTTACCATGGCAGTATGCCGAGATCTGGGAAATCGATGCGCGAAACCCACTCGTTGGCCCCGAAGGTGGTGAAAGCGTAGCCGATGTTGCAAAGCGAGTAGCCGCAGTGATTCCTCAGCTCGAGTTACAACACGAAGGGTAGGCAAAACATGAAGTCTTTATTCAGTTTCGATGGAGCTTTTGCTGTTGCAGTTATGCTATATTGCTTGTAAGTCATGGTGACACACTCCAGATCCTTCAAACTATAACAAAGGCCGCGGAGGTAAGCAGGATCAAAACGGACAGTGAGGAATACGTCTCCATTCTTTCCCAGCATCGAAAGTTTGCACTGCTCACTGGAGAACTTAGACGGCTTGCATGACTATTCTTTTATTTTTATTTTTATTTTTCTCACACACAAACATTGAAACACTTGATAAAAACTTCAAGCTTTATTTCCATTTTTCTTTCTTTTCTTACAATCTTTTCTGTTTTTGTTTTTGGCAGAAATCAAATGTCCTTTGGAGTATTCCAAGCACAAAGGGCCGGCAGACATTGTCTTTGCGTGTTGGATAATCTCTTCTAACATTGATTTGTTGCAAAGTCTTCGTCTTTGTTAAAGCTATGGAGCTTCCCGATCTTCACAACAAGTATTGGGTGCTCAGGCATGGACGAAGCGTTCCCAACGAGTTGGATCTAATCGTCTCACACGAGGTTCGCTCGCTCTCGAAGCTTTATCATTTTCTCACTAGTGGTTTTACCAGGCTAATGGAGTTCTGCCTGGGTATGGGCTTGCTCCTCAGGGCCTTGTGCAAGCAAGAAACGCTGGCAAAATCTTCGTCAAGGTGATGATGGATATCAGCTCTCGAATTAAGTTGTCCTTTTTTCATTCTTTCTTCCTGACAGGAACTCAAGAAATTTAGTCTAGACAATGTCTGGATCTATTCTTCCCCGTTTAGCCGCACGATCCAAACATCTGAGTGCGTTTTGGAAGCGGTGGATGCAAGCTTTGAGAATACACGCATTCATGTAAGTCATAGATTTTATCATTTTCACTTTCCTATTTTGTTTGAACTTTAAAGTATAAAAACTTTTCTGGTCATTCAGGTTCTTAGTGAGCTTAGGGAGCGATACTTTGGGCCATTCTATGAACTAAAGTCGCGCTTGGAGGTACTTATCTTTGTTTTATCTCAAAGTATAGATGTATTTTTCTTGTTTCAGTACTCTCACGACGATAGAAAGGATCCCTTTGTTGGGCCTGAAGGCGGTGAAAGTGTCATGGATGTGTACGAGAGAGTGCTCAAAGCAATTCATGAAATCGAGCGACAAACGCACGGGTAAGGAAAAAATCCTTGCCGCAAGTTTTGTGTAGTGATTTTGCTAAAAATTTGAACTTCCAGGTCTGCTGTTTTGATTGTTGGCCATGGTGATGTTCTTCAAATCCTCCAGGCAGTAGTGGACTACAGGAGCTCAGAAAAGCTCGGAACATATGAAGAACTTGCCAGTAGCTTGTCCAAACACAAGAGATTTGAGCTTTCTAATGGCGAGCTTAGAGAGCTCAATTAGTCATCCATATTTTATATTTTTCCGTTTACTATTAGTTTTTTATTCAAATAGACATGTGCCATAAAGCGAGAAATAGTTATTGAATATATTTATGTGACACAAACTTCGCATCTCCCAACCATTCAATCGAAAGATGGAACAAACGTAGATACAGTCTAACAACCTCAAGGATTCACTAACCTCTAAAACAAAGAACAATTACCACAAAGCACAACCAATGACTGTGCGGCACGTGGATAAGAATGCCAGGCCACCATGCCAGCCAGTAGTGCCACGTGATTTGCTGACGTGTGTAGTGAGTCAGAGCTAGCTACCGTACCAACGCAGTAACGAGCGTCAGATCGCCCCTGCCATCGCATATAAATACGTTGGCATACCTTCACATTCACACGCTCCCGCTCCCTCACAGAAAACCACACGTCTCGCCGTCACGCCCTCGCGAGTGAGGGGCCAAAGATTCCCCTCCTGGTTTCTCCCTGTTGAGAATATCCGATCTATCAGCGATGTAATGAAAGTAAAGGGGTGGTGTGGTGGTGTGGAGCATTTAAAAACCTAAGGATTGTTACTTCTTTCTCGCTGGGGCTGTGCTCTCTTTTTTCACGGCCAAGCCGGAGGAGCTCTGGCATTCTTTGACTTGATCGACTTTTTTCAATGCAGCGCCGCTAGATCATCGAGAGGTCGCGAGGGAAAGCTAAAAACATAAGGGAAGATCCAGGTTTCTTGTCTCCATTCTGTTCTTGATGATCACTTAAGAGTGCCCATTCCACGATCTAGATAGATAGAGCAGTAGAGGTCCTTCCCTGTGATGGATTCATCGGTATTCCAAGCGATTGTGGCGGCCTTCTTTCTATTCCTCTCGCTCATCCACTTCCTCTTCTTTAGACCGATCAGGCCGGGAGCCAAGAGCAATGTAGATCCAGGCGTGAAAGGGAGGGATCGTCGCCAGCGATTGCATCTCCCCCCGGGGCCCAAACCATGGCCAGTCATCGGCAATCTCCTCCAGATCGGCCCCTTCCCCCACAAGAGCATGATGGAATTCACCCGCCGCCACGGCCCTCTCGTCTATCTCAAGCTGGGCGTGGTCCCCACGATCGTGACCGACAGCCCCGCGATCATCCGCGACATCCTCATCAAGCAAGATCACATCTTCGCGTCGCGGCCGGAGAATATCGCGTGCCAGTACTTCACGTACAATGGCCGCGACATCGCCTTCGCCCCCTACGGCCAGCACTGGCGGGCGATGCGTAAGATTTGCACGCTGGAGCTCCTCTCGCCGCGGAAGATCGCCTCCTTCCGCGACGGCCGCTGCCAGGAGCTCGATCTCATGGTGGAGAGCGTCTTCCAGGATCTCGGGAGGGAGGAGGGATCATCGCCCACGACGCACAAGATCAATCTCCGCGACAAATTCGCGAGCTTGTCCTGCAACATCCTCACGCGGATGCTCCTGGGCAAGCGGCACTTCGGCCCGGGCGCCGCCGGGCCCGAGGACGCCGCCGAGCACAAGCAGATGATCTACGAGGGCTTCGCGCTGGTGAACGCGTTCAATGTGGCCGACTACCTCCCCTTCCTGCGCGCGTTTGATCTGCAGGGCCACGAGAGGAAGATGCGGCGGATCATGCAGCGCGCGGACGAGGTCTACGACGAGATCATCGAGGAGCATCGCCAGAAGCTCGCCAAGAACAGCGGGGGATCTTGCCAGGAACAGCAGGGGGCCAGCTTCGTGGATGTTTTGCTGTCGGTGCCTGGCGCCAATGGCGAGAAGCAGCTGTCCACGACGACCATCAAGGCGATCATGATTGTAAGTGCCCACCACCTTTTTGCTTGCTGGCTTGCTTGCTTTCCTCTCGTGTTTGGGTCTTGCAGCATTTGCCGTCTAGCGGCATTTGCTGCAGATGCAACATACCGTCGCTCGTGTGGAACGTCTTTGCTTGAAAAACTGCGGTTAACAATCTAGTGAATGCCGTTGTTAGTTGGTGAATAGGTGCTTACCCTAAAAGGCCCTTTTCCTGCTTTTTCTCTGGTCAAACATGGGTTAACGGTTGTGCTTGTAGCATATGCCCTTAAAGGGCATTTGCTACTTTCTCGTGCGGCGAGTTAATGCGTTGCTTTCTGCTTCTTTTCGCTGGTTTTTCCAGGACATGCTCTCGGCGGGAACAGACACCTCGTCCGTGATTAGCGAGTGGGCGATGGCCGAGCTGGCACGGCACCCGCGAGAGATGGCCAAGGTCCGCGAAGAACTCGACGCGGCGGTGGGCGTTGACCGGCCCGTTGACGAGTCAGACGTGGTCAACCTCAACTATCTCAAGGCGGTGGTGAAGGAGATCTTCCGGCTCCACCCGGTGGGCGCGTTCCTTATCCCGCATTTCTCCACGGAGGACACGCGGATCGGTGGCTACGACATCCCCAAGAACACGCGCATCCTCGTCAACACGTACTCGCTTGGGAGGAGCCGATCGGTGTGGGGCGACGACGTGCATCTCTTCCGCCCCGATCGCTTCCTCGCCTCGCCGGGCGATCTCTCGTCCCAGATCGTGGAGCTCATGGACTCGGAGTGCCGGGTGGTGCCGTTTGGGGCCGGGCGGAGGAGCTGCCCCGGCGCGTCGCTGGGGTCGTGCATGGTGGTGATGGGGCTGGCGAGGTTGATCCAGAGGTTCGATTGGAGCGCGCCGCCAGGGGAGGAGATTGATGTGAGCGAGCGAGTGGGATTCACGGTGCTGGACAAGCCGCTGGAGCTCGTCGCCAAGCCGAGGGAGTGCGTAAATTTCTAGCTCAACTCAAGGTGGATCGATCTTTGATTTCTTGCCGCAAGGGCGATCGTGGATTCTTTCATTTCGTCATGTAGGATCAATTCTCTCATTGTTTGCAGAGGCTTTGCTTTTATCTAGTCCAAGGCCGTGAATGAAAGAAGACCCCAGCCAACGTCTTTGACTGGGCGGGACTAGAAAGTCAACTCAACTAGAATGCGTGAAAGCTCTTTGAGCTGCTAGAGCCATGGTAAACGAGATACAAAGACACTCACCAAGAACAAGAGCGAAAAATAAAGCCCATCTTGCAACTTCTCTCAGAGATTTTTTTTCTGCTACTACTTGCCGGTGTTCATCATGAGCGTGATGTTATCGCCCTTGAGGAGGATCCGGCCCAGCGGCTTGCGCGACTTCTTCTTGAGCGAGATCTCGTAGGCGTCGTCCAGTACCAGATTCATGTACTCGTCAAACCCTATGATCCGGCCCTCGATTCTCAAATCCTTCTGCTCAAACAGCCACACCTGGATCGTCGCCTTGCTCTGCAGGAACCGGAAGATGAGATTGATGGGCTGGGTCATGATCCGCTGGACTTTGGAGGTCGCCATGGCTGCCGCGCGCGCTTCTCCTCCGCCTTGCCGAGAGCCCTAAAATAAATCTGCAAGAACCCTAATTTCCTGTGGTTATTTGGGCAATGGCGGCAGCGGGGCGCCTGGCGGTGGGATGCGCCGTCGCGTGGCGGAAATCCGTGGCGCCACGGAATGGATTTCGATCGAGATTGAATGCGGGCGTATTCCGGCAGCAGCAGCAGCGAGGATTTCAAGTGATAACGGCAGCTAGACGGCTGTTCACGGAGCTGAAGAAGATACGGGAGGAAGCCGATGGTGAGATTGCGTGGTATACGGTTCTTGCCTCCTGATTTTCTTGTTTCCTCGCAGCTGGCCCCGTGGAATTCGATTCCAATCTCAGCATTGTCTTGTATCCCGATCCCAAGCTCCGCGCGAGGAACATCCGCATCAATTCCTTTGATGATAACCTCAAGAAGCTTGTCGATGAGATGCTGGACGTGATGTACAGGTATGTTCTTCGCGAATTTCATCGCTGCCAAACGCTGGCATGCTTTGTTTTCTTGTCTTCTTTTCTTTTTTGCCAGGACAGATGGAGTAGGCTTGTCCGCTCCACAGGTAGGCGTCAATGCCAGGCTCATGGTCTTTAATCCCGAGGGTGAAAGAGGCAAAGGCAAAGAGTACGTTTTCGTGAATCCAATGATTGTCAAGTTTGGGAAAGAGCGAGAAGCTGATAGAGAAGGATGCCTATCTTTTTACAGCGCTCAAGCCGATGTCGAGGTACTATTCCTTTGTACTTAGAGATTCTCTTTATGGTTTATGTCTTTGTTCCCAGAGACCGATATCGATCCGAGTCGAAGCTCAAGATATCAACGGGAAGAAATTCGGTACCACCTTCAGGGGCTGGACTGCTCGAATTTTCCAACATGAGTATGATCACCTGGAGGTAAGGTCTCGTTTGGTTTCTTCTGTGCAGACATCAAGGTGGCCGTGGTATTTGTTCGCACAGGGTGTCCTCTACATTGACCGGATGACTCCAAAAGCATTGAACTCCATTGGAAAAGAACTTTTGGTACTGTTGCCTGTATAGATTCCATTGTTGTATGTTCTCTCACGGCTTTGTTGCAGAATCTGGAAGAGGAGTTTGAGAACAGAACTGGGACGCCTCGTCCCGAGTCGGTTAAAGACAAACTGTTAAGCTCAGTAGCGTCTTGAAATGCAAAGTGTTTGTTCTGGAAAGGTGCTCGGTTCGATTACGTTCTTTGCGCTCCGTTTCAACTTACCGGAAATTTCAGCTGGCGCTGAAGATGGAATCTAATCGAGTGGTGAGCGCCTTGCTTATACTTCCATCGTAGAGAGTTGAACCTTTTCTCTTTTCTTTTCTTGTGTGTTATTTTTTCAGAGTTGCTGTCGACGATCCCGCGCCACACGAGCTACCATCTGGCCAGATGGCTGACCTTCAAATCATCCTGGTTGACATAGAATCAGAGCACTGACTACCTCCAAAGTGGTGAAGATGGCCAGAAATAAGTGTGAAGAACGAAGCGAGAAACATTGGCCCATTAGGCGGTGCGTGGCGTAGCCCAAGGAGGAGCTCTTGTTTCCCTGGAGTTCTTTTGTCTCCAATAACGCACCAGACACAAGGAAGTTCCGAATTTTCTGGGAGGAGTCCCGTAGAGCTGTGAAGGGAGACATCGGCTCGTGACGTTCTCGGGCAGCTTCTCCACCAGATTTCGGTCAGATTATCGCTCAGAACTTTGTCTCAGGGAGAGAGAATTTGGAAGTCATCTCTCAGCCTCAGGCATTAACACCTTTGGGACGACTTAAAAAATCTCAAGTACTTGTCGTCACTCGGGTTAAATTCACGCAAAGTACTCGAAGAACGCTACGGCAGAAAATAAGTGCGGGCGAGAAAGCGGAGGATGCGTATCCCGGCAGGCGACAAGAAGGCAAAAACGCGGATACATCCGGAAAAGCAGGTGTCTCAGCATGGGGAGCCAGCAGCCGAAATCCAAACGCAACGACAGAGGTGGCAACAGCAGATATGAGATGATCGAGTGCAGGAGACGACGGCCAGGGGGCTGACACGGAGGAGATCGGCGTGGAAGGACAACATCCGAGGTAGTGTTTCATTTGACGAAAATGACTAGGGGCCTAATTTCGTGTTTTGGCGAAAAAAGCGTGCTGCAGGATACGTGCGGGACTAGTTAGCAGCCAGCTCGCATTGACTGAATTTTCCAAACACATTCCTCTTTGTAAGGAGTTGTGGTAAGTCGGAATTTCATGTTTTAAAGCTATCCTCTTATTCTTCTCTTCGCTCTTGAACTTTCCCATCGTGAGGCTCCTTTCAGGATGAGCGGGATTGTCGCAGATGATAGCAGCTACCTTGTAACACACTATACGAGCGTGTGGTCGTACCTGTGGCCTCACATCTCGCATTCTTTGGAAGTCGGGAGCGTGAACTTGGATTGGAGAGCGAGATGTTCTCTGTTTATGCTCCGGAGCGTGAGGTCTGTCTCTCAACCGCTGAAGCACTTCGGAAGATGGGCGGAGAAGGCAATTAACCTTTGTGCAGCCAATGGAGGAATTCTCAGGACCTTGTATGCTCTTTCGATAGATCCACAAGGTAAATAGAATTGATTTCACGGTGTTGACTTTTGATTGTGTTCTGTTCTTCCAGCGCTTGTTGATTTTGCCGAGGACTCGGAGAGCTACCTGACTTTCAACGGCCACATGGAACCAAGAACCAGCCTCCTCCAAGCCCCTTCGTCTCAGCGTCTGTGTCTTTCATGTCCAGACTCCAAAGCGGTAGCAGATGTTTGTGCTATGGCGTCTAAAGTTGCGTATGAGAGCCCGAAGTTCATCGAATTTGTCGTGAATCAGAATTGGAAGGTAAGTCCGAGCCTTGCACAACCTCTGCTCCATCAGCTTCTCCTTTGCAGATGCATCTACTAGGAACTTACAACTGTTGGAACGGTAAGAGGTTATTTTTCTCGCTAACCAGTTTCATCTGACGTTGCTGTCTCTCTTTCATGCTACAGAGTTTCAGAAAAAAAGCTCGACTCAAGCTTTCATCTTCGCCGACCGGGAAACTGATGCAGAAGCCATCGTTCTTGCCTTCCGGGGAACGGAAGCCTTCAATGCATACGACTGGTGCACAGACTTGGATTTCTCCTGGTACGAGCTGCCGCAGCTCGGCCGTGTCCATCTCGGATTCCTTGAAGCACTGGGCCTGGGCGACAGGAACAGGATGCAAAGCTTCCAGAGGTTGAAGCAGAACATCTACGAGAACTCGAGGACTCCGTTGCCACAGACTCCGACGTCTGGACTGCCGGACTTTGTCCTCAGCGACGAGACGAAGCTGCTTGCGTACGACCACATCAGCGCGGAGCTCATCACTATCCTACGGAACCACAGAAACGCAAAGCTCTACATCACCGGTCACAGCCTCGGCGGCGCTCTAGCGACTCTCTTCACCGCCATGCTCTTCTACAACCGGGAAGAGCATCGCATCTTTTACAACACCGAGGACGATGTTGCCAGGAGGCTCGCGGCGCTCTACACGTTTGGCCAGCCCCGTGTTGGAGACGAGAGCTTCGCGTCCTTCATGGACGCCAGCTTAAACAAGCCAACCATGAGGTACTTTAGAGTTGTCTACAATAACGACGTGGTAGCTCGAGTCCCCTTCGACAACTCTTTGTTTGGCTTCAAGCATTTCGGGCATTGCTGCTACTTCACTTACAACTACACCCTCCAGGTACTTCACTTCGACACACTGCTCTTTGAGTAGGATCCATATTAACTTTCTGCGCAGATCCTTCCGGACGAGCCATTTCCCAATTTCCTCTCCCCGGTTTACATGGTGCTGTCCCGGCTTTACGCGCTGTTCGAGCTCGTCCAGAGCTTCTTCATGAGCTATAGATATGGCGGGGAGTTTAGCGAGACGAGGTTGTCCACTGTGGCAAGGATTGCAGGCTTGCTCGTGCCTGGGATCGCCGGCCACAGCTTGGTGAATTACATCAACTGCGTCCGGCTGGGTCCCGACCATCTCGATCCGGCGTGCCTGCAAAACTCTGAGTGGGATAAATCGCAGTAAGCATCGGAACTATTTCGTATTTTTTAACATAGAAAGGGACGTCAGGATTCAAATCTGCGAGGGCCAGCCCACAGCCCAGTAACCTCTTGGCACGTCCACCTTAGTTGCTGGTGTTAACTAATGTATCGTAAAATTAAGAACAAATAGAAAATAAATAAAATGGTCTAGGTGCACAACTAAGTACGGTTAATGCTATATATTAACTAGTACTTGCCCAGCAGAAAGCTAGTGGGTTGGCAAAGTGAAGTTTTCAAAAAACTTTAAATCTGAGCCAAAAGATAAAGACATTGGCCAAGAGTTTTATGTCACAGAGACTTGGATATGTTGAAAGTTTTAGCGTGAAGAAAGCGTGAAAGAAAGATCTTGCCTCAGCTGCCTGTGTGTGTGAGGTGAGTACCAGATGATTGGGATAGCTTCGAGATTTGAGCATCATGGTTTTGTTGCCAGTATTTCTCCTTTAGAAGGAAAAACCAGAAAAGAAAAGAAACAATTATTAAGTTTAAAGCATCAGAAAGTTCAAAGAGAAGAATACAATTACTGGCATTCTTTCAGAAGACAAGAGCACATCTTGAGAGCATCGGCTGCAAATGCAAGAGTTGCGAGCAAAATTGCACCAGCAAAAACCGCAGCTATGTGTGTTCTCCAGTTCAAATGGTTTTTTAGCAAAAATTCCCTCTTCTTGATGGATTTCTTGATGATGGGCTCTCTGCATTGCTTCCTGAAAAGTTTTTGGGGATCTTGGGAGACGATCTTGAAAAGTATAACTTGGTTATAGTTTTTCTTTAGCTGCTTGATCCCCGATCTTTCCACAGCCCTTTTGCTCGAGCAATGCTGCTGCCAAGCAAACCTAGTACATGGAGGAGTGCAAAATGCCCTTGCATTCATTGCCAAAATGGATAAAAAGAAAAAGAGAAAAAGATATTTGTTCACCACATTTAGAGTTCTTCTGAATTGGCACACTTGTTCTTTCAAACAGCTGCTCAATACTTGCCTAGCAAATGCTATGTGGTTTAGAAAGAGGTTTTATATTAAACCTTTTTATAAACAGTGTTGATTATAAAAATAGAAGAGCGTGTTTAATTCCAAATCCATGTATCTTGATAAAGCTATATAAAGTTATCCATGAGTGAAAATTACTGGGGCAAGTAAACTCCAACTCAATTAAATATCTTTGGCATTTGGAGATTGTTAAGCAGTAACCTAAATGGACTTGAAATTTTTATATTTGATGGTATTAATGTGATATATGGGATAAAAACTCTTGTCCCTTTAAATTGCCCCATCACAATTTCACAATCTTAAACATTTGGTAGTGCACTTTTCAAGATGAGACATATGCCATTGCATAGTCCTACTGATGGAGACATATTCCTTAGGAGGATAAAAATAGCATTTTGTTTGAGAGAGAGTTTGTGTGGTGGGAGACTAGAAGGTGTGATAAAATTTAGGAATTCTATTAGAAAGTTTTCAAGATGTTTAATATCAACAAAATCAACACTTTTGTAGATATATGTATCACCTTGTAATTTAGAGACAATAGTGTTGTTGATTGCAAATATGTCATTGTTAAATGGGGTAAATATGACTCAATTGGCTGCAATATAAGGATTTGAAATATCAAGTATTGAAGGGTAGATAAAATCAATAATAGATCAATAAATTAGTTGTGTATGAGGTAATAAAATGGAGTTAGAAGGTAAAGATGGTAAATTTTGAAAATTTTCACCATTTTCGACTTTGAGAAGCCATTTAACTTATGATTTATCACTTTAAGCAAGTTACATATTTATTTTCAAAGATATTACAAAACTTGAAACAATTTATACACTATATCCATGTGGAATGATTGGAAGTGTCTATGTAAAGTCTCTACTAGTGACAATAATTATGCCACCAAAAGGTAATGATGTATTTTTTAGGTCTTGCAACACTCAATAAACAACAGTGAATGCATGACTATTAACCATACTTATTTCATCCCATAATAATATGTAAGTAGTTTTGATTCTTATACCTGCTTTACTATTAGCAGTTATAGTAGAAGTTGATGTTTCATTTATTAGAATATGAAGTTTAAAAGTGGTGTGTCCATTATAAAGTAAAGTACTTGCAATTTCTGTCAAAGCCATGCTAATAACGTTTATTTTTTTCAGTTGTAAAATATTTATAAGAGTGTTAAGAAGAAACATTTTATTAGTACCACTAGGTCCATCAATGAAAATGTATTGATTATGCTCAGTTAGGTGATCAATAACATTAAGAATATCATTAAAAATATTTAATTGTTCTTGATTTAATCAAGGAATATTTTGTTTAACATTTTGATATATTTGTGTTGAGTTGAAAATATTTTTATTATCAAAATTTTCAGATGATAAAGGTAGGTGGTAGTTTTGATTAGTTTTTCCATGCATTTTCATTTTAATATTTATATCATATAAAGCATGTTTATAATGAAAAATTATATTTACTTGCATGAAATCCTCTAAGAGGACATCTTTAAATTTATCCCATAAGAAGTAAAGATCTTTTGGAGTGCAAATGATACAAAGTAATACAAATAATTGTCTTAATTGTGATGGCATTCTAAAAAATCAAACATTTTCTAAATATTTTTTCCATTTGGTATCATTAGCTATAAGCCCTATTGCATTTGCAATTTGTTGAAATATATCATAATAAATATTGATAACTATCTTGAGATCTTTGAAAGACATAACACCTTTTTTATGGAGTAAAATAAGACGTAAATAATATAGTTCAACATTAGATAGCAACACAGAATATATTTGGGGAATGACATTTCTTGTATGTCAAATTTTTTAATTATGAGTATAAAGGTTAAATATATAATATAAAGGGATTTCAGGATATATATATTGTCTAGCATTTGGATCATTTATATTTAATTCAAACCATTTTATCAATATTGAGTAGCTCTTTGAAGTGCCATTTGTTTAGAACCTTCTATAAAATATACATTTTGAAAATTTGGAAAGCAGATTATAGAGGTCGAATAACCATGCATTTTAAATTTAAAAAGTTTCATATTGCCTTTGGAGCAGATACATAATGTCTATTTAGAAAAGTTGAGATTTTATCCCAATTTAAAATACTATCAGGTTGTTGGGTTGCTAAATGGAATTCAATTGTAGCACAATCATAACCTTTATAGACATATTGAAATAAATATTTAATACTTTTTATAGTAGCATAAATTTTAATATTAATATGAGCATTATATTTTTTATAAAGGTATTTATTATAAGGTACTTGTAGCGCATGTGATCATGGGATAAGATTTGGATATACTGTCACTGTGGATCCTTAGAACCTTGGGGGATAAATGGGGATAAAATAGCCACTAAAGACTCTCTTATCTAACAATTGCCCCTTTTCCAGTTGGCTTAAGAGGAGAGAGATAAGGTGCGCTACAGTTGGTATCGGAGCAAATGGCACGGGTTCGATTCCCATTGATTAGTGGCTACTTAAAAAAAAATATAATATACCCTTGAGCAAGGTATATTCCTACCCCTAAATTTGAAATCATACGAATTGGGCATCCATGCGTACGTCCTTCCTCTTGTGTGGAGTATCCATGGACAAAGGTATCCACTCTGGGATTGCGGTACGGGTGGATGACTAGTCGCCTCACATGGAATAATTGGTCTATACAATGGAAGGATTGGTAGATTCAATGCAGAAATGGAGTACAATAGTAAATGAGGACATTGATATCTGAGATTATGAGACATTGATTATCATGAGATTTGGATATACTGTCACCGTGGAGCTGGTGGAGTACCCATGTCTTCATGTTAGCCCACCGGTATGCCGAAATAGCGCCGGACTCCGTTTGGCTCCATTTTGCATGTTGGTCCTGGCATTAGGATGTTGGTTGCTCCAGGACTGCTCCAAGTCGCTTCAGGCTCCTATCCTTTTGCTCTTTGGGCTGTATGTTCGGGAGTTGTTTCATGATTCGGTTCCGTCACTCATTGGCTCCAAGCTTGGGAGTTTGGCACTGTTCCTTCGTTCAGTGGCCCAAGGCCTTAAAACTCAGGTTCCGCACCACTGTCCTTTGGACATGTGGCATGTGACACATGGCATCTGTCACGTGGCACAAAGAGGGTTTAGGTTCCGCTTCGTAGTGTTATCCTATGGTAAATCACCATAGGATAAAGGGTAAAAACCATGTGCACTACAATACTACCCAATGATTATTAATATAACGCCCATTTTTTAGAAATGTGCAGCCATTATCAAGTTTATAATAATCTGGACATCTATCAATACTAAAAGTAATTTTATAATTAAATGGTTTTGGATAACCTTTTGAGCAAATGCCAATTGCCATGCAAGGACTATTAGAGGAAAGAGGCCTACATAAACTATATATCATATGAGATGTATTATTTTAAAAATTTCAAGTTCATCTTGAGGATCAAGCAATTGTACTATTATATACTGGTTAATAGTATCATGGTGTTTAATTTTGTTTTCATGAGATAATATACCTAGAAAGTGACAATGTGGAAGGCCTCTCTTTTGAAATTCAATTATATATATAAAAAAAATACAATTTTCAAAAATATTTTTTTAGTAATATTATTTAAAAATTCTTTAAGCTTGATATGAAATACTCTAGAAACCAAGTCTAGATGATCTTCAAGGCCTTCATTTGGATGTAAGTTTTTAGAAATTTCTAGCTATTTAGGATTTCATGTAAAAGTAATGAAAAGATTTGGCTTTGAGAAATGAGTAACTATAGCTATTGCATCTTGATAATTTTGTTGCATTGCTCTAGGGCCACCCCAAAACTTGAAGGTAACATAATAATCTTGTGTGGATTTATATTTTCATTAGTAGCATGGTTTGCAACATAATCTATAAGACCAATATACATTTCAACTTGCAGTTGTTTCTTATGAGGGCAATAGTAATTCAAATTATTGCTTTCAACTTTTACAGAAGCATCGATTATATATTATTGTGTGAGTTTTTTTGCATGTAAAATTTGATCAAAACCAAGGTATATTATGTCTCTTATAGATAAATGATATGCATAATATTGGAGTAATATAATTTGATATCTGGAATTAAAAATATTTTTGTGCCAGCCTTTGTCACCAAATAGAAATATTAATGGGTAAACCATTGGATCACAATTATAATCAAGTGTTGAGATACATTTAGAGTTGTTTATAGTTGGATATGTATAAATTTCACAAGTATATGATGGCTCTCCATCTAACAAACACAATAGCAACATCATTTGTTCGTGGATTATTATAGCAT